ATGATGTTTCATCCATTTTTTTTGCACTCTATTCTCGATCGTTGAGAAAAAGGACTGTTGAAACTTATCCGCACAATTTTTCATCAAACGAAAACAAAGGAAACATTCGGTTTTCTATTGAATTATCTACACAAGATAAGAGAAATATTTATTACCAATATGTTACACTTAAAGAAGTATTTCTTAGATTTTTAACTGAAGAGTACAAGACGATTATCCTAAAGATAGCATCATATATTTCTACAATCTTATTAATGAAAACAATATATCTTATTCGATGATCTAAGAGTATACAACTAGACACCTTTCAATCCAATAAATATACATTTTATATTACGCTGCATAACCAAAAATATCTAAACATAAGGTGCTACAAAGTGAAGCCGCGACGAGCTGTTTCTAATTTGAAAAGACAAAAAAAATAGGAGCAAGACGATTCATAAAGTTTTGTCATCTGTTTGTCAACAAGTATGCCGATGACAATTGTCTAAGAGTAACAGCTTGTTACAATAAGACACATGATATTAGTTTCATATTAGATGACTAGTTCGTTCGTTGTCACTGTTCAGATATACCGATGATGCTTCTAATTGATCACACATATTTCATAAATTGAACAACAGCTTGTAAACAAATAGTTTAAAAAAAAAATCATTTTACAAAAATGTTTCATATTAGAAGTTTTCTCAGAAGTACAATCAATGATCAATATCTCAATTTTTTTTTGTTGTTTTTGATCTTTGACTCTTGAATATATCATATTAAAAGATAACGTCTTTTTCTATAAATTTGAAGAAAACACAAAAAAATATTTCATTCGTGTGACTATCAAGTGCATGTGAATAGGTGATGATATGTTACACATTATATCTCCATCCTGTTTCCCAACGTATTGTTGTTTTTTATGCCCGACAGAATATTATCATTCGATTGTCAAGTGTAATGATATACGAATATACATAGTGTGTTCAATGGGCTTTAGGTAATTGAATTATCCAAAAACAGCAGGTCAAGATAAATTGCTTATTCAAATAACAATTGGTTTATGTCATTGAACAAAAACGATGAAACGATGTTCGATCTATTGTAAATGGATTATGCCATATAAATAGACCTTTTCTACTCAAATGGATGTGACAAAAGATCAAAATTCATATTTTGTGAATATGAGGTTCAAAAAAAAAATTGAGAAGTTAAATATAAGGTACAATGATACAATTACTCAAACTCTGTCATTTTTTCATATGTTTGCAATCCAATGAGTTTTCTTAGAAAGAAAAGTGTTGTTATTATTTTATTTCTAATATAGAAATTGGACTGAAATCCATCGGTTCGAGCGGATCTGAGCATGGGAAATTTGGACTCGATAGGCTCTTTATGGATTCATATGTTTACATATGCATAATTTGTTGTAATACAATTCTATTCAATAGAGCTTGTCATTTTAGAAATAATGGTGAAGAATCATCTCTAACTAAAGATTTCATGGTATTCCATTATATGTAATGAATGAACTGCTCACAAATAACATGATCATGACATTCTGGTTGGTACTCTTGGAAAAAAGTGTTCTATATCTTCTAAATAGCTGGGTATGGATCAGAATTCATCAGATTAGAGTCAGTGTAGTACAAACAGAATGTTGTTCGTATTGTTAGCAATTTTTTCCCCAAGCAACTTCGAAGATACTTCTGATATCTTTCTATTCTAAGAGAAGTTCGTTGTTATGGTAAAGCAAAATTCAGTTTTCAATAAAGAAGAATCAGTGTTCAACTAATAAAATAAATAATCATTGAACTATCGACATTTCAGTGTGTTTCAAAAAAGGCTATTGAAAGTTTCAACAAGTACAGTTATAAGTGAGTCTATTTTAAGTGCAAGCGAAAGAGAGAAGACAAAGTTGAATGGTAACACTGCTAATGACACTTTATTTTTGCGAAAATCTTGAAATATGTGATAACTTTATATTTGATTTTCCTTTGAAATTCATAAAGTATACTGAAACATAATGAAGAAAACTTCATGTTGACATATGTCAAAACATGGAAATTTTAGAATAAGGTAGAATAAGGGTACGATAAACTCTTATCCTGCATGATGTTCGTATGGATAAGATGAAGACACCTACACTCACATCCTAGATTAACTCAAAAGAAGATTTACAAAATCAAAAACAGTGATCATGTTATTTATAAAAAAACCCATTAAAATTTCATAGTGGAACACCAGCTATAATGATACCATTATGAGAATGACTAGAATATTTTCATTTATGTTGAAATTTAAATTATTCAACGAAATATATTATCCAAAAAAGTCAATATTCAAAGTGATTTAAATGAATTCTTATCAATAGCTTTTCTTCTATATATTTATTTATATGTATTCAATATCTCGGAAAAATTGATCAAAATTCAAGTATAATTGTATTATTATTCGTATTAATTGAAAACGATTTCAAATTGAAACATTTTCTTCTGCTTATTTCAATAGGAATACATCTGGCTTCGTAAAATAGTTTGGTGTTGTTGTGTGAAATAAGCTTCAAAAAATATAAACAGTTTTCAGATATGTGAGAGCTATATTTGTTTCAATTGTCAATTTGTTTCGATCGAAATTTGTACAAGCTGTTTATTGCGTCATGCAGTTTTGTCTATGTTATGATCAATTAGTCCATTTGTCACCCTTGATCAATTGGCTATTCTTTTTTTCTTTTCACCAATTGAAAAGTGTAAAATGATTATTTTTCTTCTTCCAAAAAAGACATAACATAGAAAACACGAAAGAGAGAGAGAGAGAGCGAGAGAGATAGTGATGTTTTTTCTATTTTTTTTCTCTCTCTCTCTCTTTCTATTTTTAGATTGGTTGTTAAAATGAATCTTTGTAATCTATTTCGAGTATAAATAGTTACGATTCTAAGCAATCGATCAACATTCAGATTATATTATCTGAACATGTGCAACTGTACTCTACCACTACGGTAAGTTTACTCATTCTTTCTTTAGATTTTTAATAATACTTGTCTCTTTGACTTATGGCACTCTAATTCACGGCTATTAATAAAAATTTGCCGTGTGCTATTGTGTCATGCATCGAGAGATGACTTTACAACGATAATTATTTTTGTTTTTTTTAAATATATATTTTGATTATAATTTTATATTTAATTTTCAGCAAAATGTTCAGGATCGGTCAATGGCACATAATTTGAAGACGGTTGACATTGAATAATTCCGTGTTTATCTGTGTGCCACCAATCGATCTGAATATGACTTATAAGAAATTGACAGTTTCATAAATTAATGATTCAGTGCTAGGCAAAAGTCTCTAACTGCCAAGTATCTCGCACATTATATATGCTAGATATCTAAAAATTTGACTGCACATACTGTACTACATATATAGTTTAGAAGTACAAGGTGGTCTCAATTGCTTGAATACAAGATGAATTATGATGAAGGGTATCTACCTTTGTTTTACATTTTTAGGCTGAAAAAGATTCTCTACTACGATGTTCGTTAACTATTATCAAGTCATGACTAATTCTTGATATTTTAGTATGCCGGGAGAGCCTAGATCAGGAAATTTGATTGAAAATTGCTGTGTCTGCACTCATATAAGTATTTTTTAGATAGCATTTTGATTGAATGGAAGGTTATTTCATTAAAATTTAACTATAGACAGAATTTATGTACAAGTATTAGCTCGAGTCACTCAACAATTACTGAGTTATAGTCTCCAAAGACCAGATGATAGTGTTACTTCACTCGAATAGTCATAGGCGAATGCCTTCAACTTTAGGAAGAGTCGATAAACTTCGATGGAATTAAAACGGTAGATAACTAGAACAAATCACTAAATAATAAAGAATGAGCCGACCTATAATGTTCTTCTTTTTCTTAATCATGAATTTCAGAGGGTAAATTGATGCAATCTATTACCATTCATCATAATTCTCGTTCTAACTCAAAAAAATTGAAGTCAGCTAGTGTCTTAAATCTACATTTTTAGTGGCATATATGCACATAAATCTTGCTACCTATATTATGAATGGTAGTCTAGATGCGGAACGAAAGGTGAAAGACTTTTATTCATTATTGTAATATTACCAGACAAGAAATAATCATATATGAGTGTTATCGATGTAACATTTGAGATTTTCATAATAGAATTACCTTTTCTACTCATTAACAGTAATGACACAACTGAATTTATCATGCATACTTGTCTAGGATCTAAAAGAGTTAGCAGAGTCAAGTAGGACATTTGATAAGATTTAACAAGATCTAATTATACAAACAAGGCATATTTAGTTGTAGATGAAAATCGTTCATCATGTGTATCTTAAATTTAGATTAATTTTTATGTATTTTGAAGTATTTGATGGATATTTATAGAATAATAATGATGAAGCAGTGTACATGACATTAAAAAAATGTGACAACTGTCACAGGCGTATAACTCTACAGTGTACATCACTAAATATAAGTTTTCGTATGAATTTTTCGAGTAAATGGTATTATTATAAAGACAAAAGTAAAGAAATGCTTAATTATTTTCGATTGATAATTGAAAGACTAAGTAACATATCAAGAGTATTCATATAGTAGGTGTTTTTCTCTCTCATGAAAATTATTCCATTATGTCATATTATACTGTCACACGATGGAACTTTTTTCATGAGATAATCGTAACTGTAATGTGACTGAACACGACCAAAACATACAATATCTAATAGTGTTTAAAAATATCTACTTGAAAATTAATTTTCAACTGTGAGAAGTCAAGTAATGAAAATAATACTGAAAGGTAAAGTCTATGATTTAATCGGTTGGTAAAGAATATCTATATGAATTTTATGTAACAGTGACATCTAGTATTGTTAATATTAACAAATGAATCGTATAGCAATGAATCATTCTATTTCATAAATGAACTGGTTGCTTTCGATTACGTACGAAGACTAGATTTTCATTGCGAATTTATTGTCTTGATAAACAATGTTCAAAACTCAAAGATACAATTTAAGATCTTTTCGTTTACCAAGTTTAACTATTGCACGTCAATGGTTATCGACGTTTAGCTATGATTCTTTATTGAAATTAAAAGTCGAATCGACTTCTATTCAAGGTGTTGTTAAACAACCTGTTAATTGTTCGATTTTTCAACCTTATGATGTTGTTGTTATTGGTGGTGGTCACGCAGGTTGTGAAGGTAGATGGTTTCGATGAGTGCTACATTCGTTGATTATTAATTTTAATTTAGCTGCACATGCATCAGCACGAATGGGTGTTCGAACACTCTTGGTATGATTAACAGATCAAGTCAAAAGAAAAAAAAGGTTGTGTTTTTTTTTATTTAATTTTTTTAGATAACTCATAAAATAGAAACAATTGGTGAAATGTCTTGTAATCCATCATTTGGTGGCATTGGTAAAGGACATTTAATGCGTGAAGTTGATGCTCTTGAGTATATCTGTTTTTATTTATATTTCCAAAAAGAATCCTCTTGTTTTTCTTTTCTTTTTAGTGGTCTTTGTGGACGTCTCTGTGATAAAACTGGTGTTCATTATAAAGTTCTTAATCGTAGTAAAGGTCGTGCTGTATGGGGATATCGAGCACAAATCGATCGCAAATTATATAAACAAGCTATGCAAAATGAAATTCTTAACACACCCAATTTACATGTTATGGCTGCAGCTGTACGTGATATTGTTATTGATAAAGAACAATTACGTATAACAGGTATAACACTTGATAATCATACATTAATTCCAAGTCAATCTGTAATTATTACAACTGGAACATTTTTACGTGGATGTATTAATCTTGGTATGGATGAACAAAAACCAGCTGGCAGAATTAATGATCAACCATCAATTGATTTAGCAAAATCAATTGAAGAACTTGGATTTAAAATGGGTCGATTAAAAACTGGTTGAGTTTTTCTTTAATATTTATTTTAAAATAAGAAATTTATTCTGTAAAATTTAGGTACACCAGCTCGATTAGAAACAAAAACAATTGATTTCAGTAAAACTATTGCACATAAAGGTGATAATCCACCATTACCATTTTCATTTTTAAATAAACATGTTTGGATTAAACCGGAAGAACAATTAAATTGTCATTTAACAATGACAACACCAGAATTAGCTGATATTGTTCGTCGAAATGCTCATTTAAGTCGACATGTATCACAAGATGCTCGTAGTCCTCGTTATTGTCCATCAATTGAATCGAAAATTCTTCGTTTTAAAAATCAAACTCATCCAGTATGGCTTGAACCTGGTTAGTTAATATTTGTTTGAAACACGATCTAAAAGGAGTGTTGAAGGATATAAGATGAAAATTCATACATTCAAAGACCTGTTCGTCACTAAAGTTGGTCAAATTTCAGAATGTCGAACCTGTCTGTGATCGAATCGTACATTGATAATCTCAAAAAGATTGTTTAAACGCAATTAGATAGTTCTCACGAAATGACGAGATATTTTTTTTTGAGCTCTTTGTATTGGAGTACTCGCAAATTATACACATTTCTCAAACTATTAGAGTTCGTTGGATCCCAACTTTTCAGACCATGTCGACGGATTTCACCCATCAGCAATACTCTTCCTCGTCTCTCACCTGACAGACATTGTTTATACACGATCAGTGATCCTATATCAACCATGTCTCGTTATAATGTATGAACTGTTTCCTTATTACATTTCTTGAAAGTTACGTCAAAGGAGGGTGACGCTGACGAAGTGTTTTGCAAAATAGATAGAATAAAACAATTTTCCTATAGTTGGCAATAACAAATACATCGTGCTTCTTCTTTTAATTCCACAGAGATTACGCTAACGACTTTCTCTTATTAGATTTTTAATTTCTTCTTTTATAATTATTTCAGAAGGTTTTGACTCCGAATTGACGTATCCACAAGGTCTAAGTTGTACAATGCCTATTGATATACAATTACGTATGCTTCGAACAATACCATCTCTTGAAAATGTTAATATGGTTCGACCAGGTTATGGAGTTGAATATGATTATATTGATCCAAGAGAAATAAAACCAAGTTTAGAAACAAAACGTATTACAAATTTATTTCTTGCTGGACAAATTAATGGGTAAATAATTGAATTTCTTTAATTGATACTTTATATTGGTTTTGTTCTTTATAAATGTAGAACCACTGGGTATGAAGAAGCAGCTGGTCAAGGAATTATAGCTGGTATAAATAGTGCATGTAAAGTTTTGAATAAACCGATGTTTACAATCAGTCGAGGTAAAAAATATCTTTTTCTTGCTTTTTGTTTTGAATTATTGAAATATAATTTTTGATAATAGGTGAAGGATACATTGGTGTAATGATTGATGATTTAACATTACATGGTGCAAGTGAACCATATAGAATGTTTACAGCACGAAGTGAATATCGTTTATCTCTTCGGTAAAATAAAAAGAAGAATATGATTATATTTATTTTCTTTATGAAATGAAAATTTATTTTTAGTGCGGATAATGCTGATCTTCGTTTAACACAGGCTGGTTATGATATTGGTTGTGTCAGTGAAAAACGTTATATTCAATTTCAAACTTTCAAAACAAATTATAATCATGCTAAAGAATGTTTAAAAAATTTAAAAAAACCAGTTCATGTTTGGCGTCATTTATTAAATTCATCATCAGAGTCTAATTCATGTCGAGATGATACATTAAAATCACTTTATTCACTTGTTCATCAGACACCTTATATGATGGATAATGAAAAATGGCTTGCATTAGTACCTGATGATGAAGGTATACGTTCAATACTTTTATCTGATAATGATTTATGTGAACGTTTATGTCTTGATGCTGTTTATGAGCATTTAACTATAAGACAAAAAAATGAAATTGATGAAGTTAAACGAGATGAAGCATTTATGATACCAGATTTATTTGATTATCAAAAATTACAAATATCGAATGAAGCTAAACAAAAATTAGAAGAAGTACGACCAACAACATTAGGTTCAGCCAGTCGAATACCGGGTATAACACCTGTTACAATATTTTGCTTATTAAGAGCATTAAAAAGGGAATCACAATCATCTATATTAAATGTTTAAAATTTAAAATTTTGTTTTGTACAAATTATTTTGTTATAGTTTTAATAAACCATAGCATTGGAATGAATATTAAAACATGACTCAGAACTTTCTAACAATAATACCGTTTACAAAGTAGACTTTTATTAAATAACTCGATTGTTTCATGCGAGTTTTTATCTTATCACGTCATCTTGCAAGAAAAACTTTCATATATCAGTAACAGCACGCAATGCAATGATTATACTATTTCAATAATAATGGATAATCTCCGATTTCTCATTCAGTTGATGAGTTCTGTTAGAAAATAAATGAGTAGCGGAACCCAAATTTTGAGCTGACAGTTCATGTTCTTCTCTACAGACCTTTGAATTCCTACTGGCAAGATTTCTGAAAGATGTATAATTCTTTGAAATGAAACGTTTTCACCCATATATCTTATTTTGTGGAATTCATATAGATTTTTGAAGAAAAGAAGATAGAGTACATAAAAGTTTCAATCAAGTTTTAGAAACCGTGACTCATAGTCTTATACTTATTATAATTGGTCTTTTTTAAAAACGTATATGAATGCCACAAAATGAGATGTAGATTAGAATGTTCTATAACAAAGATTATATCTTTCAAAAATCTCGCTATTGAGGATTCAAAAATCCGTAGAAGGAGCTGAGTCCCCTCAAGCTACGCCACTGCAATAGATATGATTAAAAAATTTTTTTTTCTCTCTATTATTATTGTTTTATAAATATTCGACGAAATAATATAAGAAACAAAAGAAAACAATATTTTCAAGTTAAATTTTTCTATCATTCTACAAAAGGTAAGAAATGCTAATCGAAAATATTTGCTCTTTAATCTACAAGGATATACTTTGACATTGACCATATATATTTCCATATAGATGTCTGAAATTATCGATGATATTTGTAATTCCTAAGTTCGATGAGAAAGTAATTAGATGAATTCTTTCATAGAAAAATTCTTAACAATGATTGTTATGTCAAATATAATAACTACATTTCATGTCATCTTTATGTTAATGAATTGAACATGATTTATTTCTCTTGTTGCACATAACAAATTCATTTGAATACGACACATTCAGATCTGAAGTTAATTTATAGAACACTTAAACGAATATAACATTCATCATATGAGTGCTTTTGTTTTTATTAACTTTTATAAAGATTTTTTTTGATAGATTTAATAATTCTATATAGAACAATAATTGAACGAGAATGAGTATAAAAGAAAAAAAAATGATTAAAAATAACATATAAAGCTGAGCAATTGTTTTTCTATTTTTTTTAAAAAAACAAAAATAAATTATATGCTATTGCTGTTTTTTGTGTAAAAAAATCTGTTAAAATTGAGAAAATGAGGTGTTTTTTTTTTCTGAATACCATTAATTATTTCTCTTCAAACAAAATATCCGTTAACTTATCAATCATATCATAAATTGGTGTTTCTTCTAAATTACTTAATATAATAATGCATGCATTATCTTTTGGAAACCGAACTAAACAACTTTGAAAACCAAATATTTCACCAGTATGTTGTTGCTTTATTCTTCTATGTTTTGATCGTTCAATTTGCCAACTTAAATTAAATAAAAATAATATTTTTTCAGCATCGGATAGAAAAAGATTTCTTTACCCAAGTGCATAAGCTCCTCTAACTGGTTTAAACATCATTTTTTTCGTATGATTGTGCAATAATTTTTCTTCATATAAATATCGATCTAAGCGATATAGATCTTCAATAGTTGAATAAATTCCTCCAGCACTACGAACTGTTGACATATTTATAAAGCGACATGTTTCAAAAGCATTTGAATCTGTGCTACATTTATAACCACATGCTCGTTGATCATGTTTTGTATTTAATATAGGATTACAATCACATTCATAACCTGTATCATTCATAGAACATGGTTCAAGAATAAGTTCTCGAAGATTTGTTTCAAATGATTTTCCAGTTACTTTTTCAATAATTAAACCCAAAATAATATACTAAAGCGAAAAATTTTTATTAATTTGTTGATAATTCACAATTTGAGAAAAATTCTTTTTTCGATCATGATCGAACAGAGTTTGTTGAGTTATCTATAGGAATGTTGCTTTTGACATATTCAGATCATGATTTGTAGGAAAAATCAGAGTAAAAACGACTATAAAAATGGAAATACGTCAAAAAACATCAAGTCTCGCTATCCTCAATATTTATCTGTACTGATTTTTATTTATTATACATACTTTTTGAAAAATATTGTTTGATTTAGAGAAAACCGATTTGTTCGATATGATAGAAAAAAGACATAAATACGAAGTCGTATTCAATGAGTTTGAACATGCAGAAGAAATTCAGTTCGAAAAGAAATGAATATTATATCTAGTATTAGGACAAAAATCTGTATCGAACAGGTATAGTCAAAATTCGAATATTATTTTCGTAAGTAGACATACTCAGTAAAATACCCGAAATGGAAAATTTTATCAAATTTTTGTTTTCAATTTATTTAGTGTCGTTGGATAAAGTATATCGAGTTACCTGTAAAAACATATTTTTCGGATTTTCAGTGACAAGTTTTTCCTGGAAATATTCGAAAAAAGCCTTAATTCAAAATAGTATTATTAGAGTGGTCGATAATGAGAGATACAACAATATTTTTTCACTCTATAGAATATTACAAGCATTATTTCTTAATTATGTAGATTAAATCGACCAAAAAATGATGTGCATAAGATTGTTTTTTCGGTCCATTTAATCTGCAGAATCAGAAAATAATGTTTATAATATTCTACAAAGTGAAAAAAAAACATTTTCATATTTGTCATAGTCGACGATTCCAATGACGGTATTCAGAGTGTAGTCTTTTTTATGATGCTTTTAGAAAAAACTTGTCTTCAAAAACTGTAGAAGTAGTTTTTCATAGGTAAGTTGATATATTCTATCCAACGACCTGAAATAGATTGAAAATAAAAATTTGATAAAATTTTCAATATTCAATCCCTTATTATTTTCGAATAATCTGACCTATACTTTCTGTCATGTCAAATTCCGACGAAAATTATATTCCAGTGTTGAGTGTACTATTTGAGACAGACTTTTGTTCTAATTCTGAATATGATAGTCGTTTCTTCCGGAACTGAAGTTCTGATTGCTGAACTCATTTAAGACAAACCCCAATTTATGACGCTTTACGCTATCATATTGAAGAATTCGATTTTCTCAAAAATCAAATAATATTTTGTCAAAATTTGTTTTCTAACCATGACACGAGTAAAATTAAGAGAAATATTCAGATAAATATTAAGAGTTGATACTTTTTGAGTATTTTAATTTTTATAAACTTTTTTGATGTTTTTAAATCTAAGTTTCATCACAAAAATATCGTCTGAAATATGTCAAATAAGATATATCTATAGGTAATTCGACGAGTACTATTCAACGATAAGAAAAATAAATAAATTTTGTTTAAATGTTGACACCTTAAGAAAAAAAACAAGAATTTGTTATTTTATCTTACATTTGAATTTGAATAACAATATTTTGAGCCAGGTTTAAATTTTAATGGTTCATTTTTAAAGATTTCAATTAATTGATCGATAGTTAAATCTTCTTGACATTTTTTTTCAAATGCTTCCATATCAGTATAATCTTCAATACCAGATGTATTTGAAATTAGATGTTTTATTGTTATTTGATTACCATGTGGATAATCAGGATAATAAAGTGATATTCTATTATTGAGATCTAATTGTTTTTGTTCATATAATTTAAGAATTATTATTGCTGTAAATGGTTTTGTTACACTACCAATACGAAATATTGTTTGGCTAGTATTTTTTTCTTGACATTTGTATTCTGAACAACCGTAACCTTTAATAAGTAAGATTTGATTATTTCGAGCTAATAGAACTGAGCCAATAAATGCTTTATTGTTAACAAGTGTTTGTAAATAATCATCAGCTTGTTGCGTAATTGAATCAGCATTTTCTAATGTAATGAATGAAGATTCTAATACAAAAAAAATGTAAGATATTTTTTCGAAATACTAAATAAAATTTTTTACTCTTTTTCATTCCACAAATCCATGAGGATTTGACTTTATTATTTGTTTCAGATAGTTTCATAGATTTTATGCAGAATGACCTTGTTGTTTGCTTAGTATTTTTTTTTTGTCTTTGTTTTGTTGTTCCTGTCAGAGGAAAAAATAAGAAAAAAGGAAACAAACAGCGTGGATAAAGAAAGAGAATAAGAACAGAAAAAAAAAGCTTCTCTCTGACTTCCACCTGTTATGAGAAGATTGACATAGAGTAACATACAAAAAAAAATGCTGTTGACCGTCATACCCACTTGTAATATATATTAAATTGCGAAAAAATTCATTATTATCTTTCGACAGGAAACAAAAGAACTTATTCACTTAGAATGGAGAACCTTTTACAACAATATTAACTAGATATTGATTTGCTATTTATAGATCAATTCGCCCGTAGGAATAATTGCTAGCTTCAATTTTCTAGTTTAATTTTTAATGTCGTCTGATGTTATTCTCCATATGCCAGTGACTTCACGTGTGCGACGAGGACGAGTATGTATTAATATATAATAGTAAAATGGATTATTTTTTTTTGTGTTCATATATGTAATTAGATCTATCCAAGTAAAACAGTCTCATATTATGGTTCATGTTGGACATATAAATCTTGGTGTGTGGTTGTTGCTGTTGTTACGTTTATTTCCGTTTTAGCTGGTTTACATATTGGCTGGGAGTAAATTACATTGACTTCTCAATAATTTTTAAATATATTTTTTTTTAATTATAGCTTTCCTATACTTGTGCAACATGGTCATATATATTTTCCAATTCTCTTTATTCTTACACTCTTTTATACAATATCAAATTATTTATTTGCATGTTTACATGATCCTGGTGTTGTTCCACGACCAAATGCTGATGAAGTTCTTCAAACAGAAAAAGAAAATAACATTCAAACTGATTTGTAAAGAAAACAAAAAGTTTCTTTTAAATTAACATTTTCAAACAAAATCTTTCTTTTTATTAAGAAATGGAAATTATTTTCCATCAATTCCATTACCACGAACAATTCTTGTCCGAAATTTTCCATATTCATCACCTTATTGTTATACATGTCGAGTTTATCGTTTACCACGTGTTTCACATTGTTCAATATGTAATGTTTGTGTTCAAAATTTTGATCATCATTGTCCATGGAGTAAGTACTTTTTCTTTATAAAAAAATAAAACAACGATTAATACGTATGTGTTATCAATAAGATACAAATATTAAATTATCTTTTAATAAGATTATTTAATCGTATGAAAATTTTCTTTTACTAATCCTAAGAGGATATTTGACCGATAGTTCAAATGTTTTCTTATTTTTCTTTTTAGTTAATAATTGTGTTGGCTTATTAAACTATCGTTATTTTTGTAATTTTATTCTTTCATGTTCAATACTATGTTTAATTGGTTTAGCTGGTTGTGGAGTAGCAGCATATCTTCGATGGGATATATATAAAAATGATCCAGGACTTTATTTTGCTTATAATATTCCTAGTTTTTTTATTGGTTTTATTTCATTTGTACTGTTATTTACATTAGCATCATTTTGGTGCTATCATTTTGGATTAGCAATGAGTGGTGCAACAACAAGAGAAGATATTAAACTTCAACGGCATTCAAAACAAATTGGCATTCCTCGAGGTTCAAGATGGAAAAATTTAATTGTTTCATGGTGTGGTCCATTACAACCATCGTTAGTTTTAATTTTATTTATTGAACAGTTTTGTATGAAATTTCTATATATTGTTTTTAGAGTTAATTGGAGTGAATTATATGATAAAGATCATTATGAAAATCAAGAATCAATTTATAAAAGTTTACGTCCAACATTATTAAGTAATACATTGATTGTACCAACGCTAAAAATTCGAGAACATATTCGAAATTTAACAATGAATAATCATTTGGGTTTAAAACAACAAGTTGAAGCATTTCATCGAACTACTGGAAAAACAACAAATATATCCGAACGTTCATCATCATTATTTTCTGTTGATACAAATAATTGTCTTCAAACATATGTTATTGCAGTATAACTGAACATTTAGCCTCTGTCTATTTCTTTTTAATTTTAATTTTTAATTTTATAGATAAAAAATATTGGAAATTATCACATCGATGCTCGATATTTATTAATAGAAGGTATTAAATATTGAAATATAAATTAAAAAACAACAAACAAAAATTTTTCTATTAGGTGTTTATCGAAAAAATATTTCAACATTTTGGGATATAATATGGTCACGGAATATATCATCAATTGTTATGCTTTATGAACTAAAAGAAAATGTAATCAGATTATTAAAAATTTATTTTGCGATTTGTTAAACGGGTACTTCACAGTGTAGATCAAAAAATGCTTCATCTTCTAATATTATATCATATTGGAAGATGAAACATCAACTTTAATGCCACTATACAGAAAACACAATTGAACATATGCTAAACGAATATCATAATTGAGTAAGATTTTGTTTTAATTTTTAGAATCTTTTGATTCAATATTGGCCAAATGAATCGAATCCTTCAATGACAATTGATGATAAATATCAAATTGCTTTTATTCGAAGAATACAACGGCTGGATATTGAAACATTTCAATTTACAATTCAAAAAGTTCGATCAAACAATGACATTCAAAAAGAAAATATTCATAATTTAAATGGAATATCTTCTTTTATTTAGATTGGTGAAAATGAAATTCGTCATATTGAACATTTTCAAGTCAAAGGTTGGACCGAGACAATGTTTACAACCGATCCAATTACTTTATTACGTCTTCAATATTATATTAGTCAAAAACATTTAGAAGAAGATCATAATGAAAATCTAGGAACTATTGCTATTCATTGTTGGTAAGAATTCAAATTAAAAAGAGCAATATCATCTAGTTATTTTTATTATTTGTCTTAGTGACATTAATGCACGAGCTGTTGCTTATATGACAATCGATATCAATCGATGTTTATTGATATCGTATGGTTTTATGAATGTTTTAAATACAATAACACAATTAAATGAACAATTACCAACTTGTTTAATGAATGAAGTAAATTAATAATCATAATAAAAAATTCTATTCTGTTTTTTTAAATGAATATTCATAAATTTAGTTTATGTTAATTGTTATTTATACAACTATACTACATCTTTCATCATGGATTTATTCACCTGATATAACAACATTACAAGCATTAGATCATCAAATAAAAAATTTACTTGGTAACATATTTGCACGATTTTATCATAATCCCTTATCAGATCAGTTCCATGTAAGTAGAAAAATTTCATTATCTTCTTCAGCGGATTAATTTTAAACTTTTTCATACATTCTAGACATTCTTTTATAATAGTTTAAAAGAACTTGAAGCTATTATTTCATCGAGTATATTAAATGTTTTAATCTAAAACTTAATGTTAACCAATTATTTTTATTTTTAGATTTAGAAAATCGTTATTTACCAGCTGTTGTTGATCATAATTTAGTTTATTTCATTGATGTAAGTAAAATTTTATTTAAGTTTTTTTTCATTTTAACAAAATTTTATTCAATTAAAAATTAAAGAGTTATATTCATTCAAAAGTATTTATGTTAACAATTTGTCGTGATTACAATAGTATATTACGAATAATGTCAACGTATGAAATCCAACATTGTTTTTTATTTCAACAAAACAGTGAACAAGTAATTTTTTAAATATTTATATATATACATATTGAATTAAAATAAAATGAATAATTTAATTAGAATATAGATTTAATTGAAAAACAACAATTAAAACTTGATAGTAGTTATCAATCAAATGATTTTCGACGTTATTATCAGTCAAATATTTGCATTTATGAACCAAATACTTCTATTCGAAATATTCCATTGTATAAACTTTCTCGGTCTATTGTAAATCTTGATCAAAATGAGCACATACCAATATTAGTTTGCATTGAGTATGATTTTTTTTTCTTTATTTTCTATTTGAATGGATTAGCATTTTTTTTCTAATTATTAGTAATATTCAAGAAGGTGCTATTATTTGTCTTATTGCAAATTTAATGGAACAACTAATGATTGATAATATAGTTGATATTTATCATCAAGCAAGAAAAATTGCATATTCATGTCCAGTTTTTCAAACAGAAGTACGATTTATCGAATTCTATATTGTTTTCTTTTCCTATTGTCATTTTCAATTTAGGATGAATATAAACATATGTATGAATGGCTTGCACGATGGACAACCAATGATCTTAATTATTAATCAACTTAAGTATTATGATTCAACATTTATACCTGTGATATCAATTCTCTTTTGTTTCGTTCTTGGTAGTCAGATTTAGGTTTTAATGAGAAAATTAAAAAGAAAATAATTATTCTCTTTGTTTTTTTAAATTTGATTTATAACTCTTTTTTACTAATAAAATTTTTAAGAGAATGCCATTTAATTTATTTTTTATTGATGTTTCAATTAAGATGTAGAAAGAAACTTTAATTATCTTTTTTTATTAATTCATTGGTCATCGTTCCAATCAATATCCATATTACCTAAAAGAGAAAATATAATTAGTTTACTGAACGATAGTATTCAAAAGAACTTTTCTCAAGTAGAACTGTTACTGTATGAGTAGAAAATAATCTTTCCTAAAAGAAAAGATTTCACAGTTTGTTGATCTTTATATACAAATTATTACTTCATTCACTATTAATTTTATGTGTTTTCTATGAATTCATTATTTTCATCGGAGAAAAACAAAAATTATTGAATCCTAAAAGTTCTTAAATAGTGACTGATACTTTTTAAATAATAAAAAATTTTCTTCATCAATCAAAATACTCAATGGGCATATAGCTAAATAATTTATTATAATATCTCAAATATTGATGATTCGAATTCCTTAGATGATTTATTTTTCTCACCGAAATTACGGCGAGCCGAATAACACATTGATAAACAAGCATTATTGCATAAATGAAGTGGAATGCCACTCTCACTTTCATTTGTACAATAGTCCATGCATTGTGGAACACATTTTCGATCCATTGCTACCTCATCAGCTGAGACAACGTATGGTAATACTAATTAAAAAAGTAATGCAATTTTATTATAAGCGTTATTTGAAATTATTACTTACAAGATAGAATTATAACCACGAACCAAAGAAAACATAATCTAAAGTTCATTTTAGCTGGAAGATAACGCGGAAAAGAATGTCTAACAATGTTTTGATAAACTTTTTTTCTTTCTTTTTTAAATACACCTACAAATACAAAAAAACAACATGTGTTTTTATACTCATAAGCGAATAACATAATAATTTATTTTTCACTATCAATAATAGAAACTTTTTGCATTAAATATTGTAATAAAACTTACGTTAGTTTTTTTTTCGCTCTTTAGAATGAGATAATTAATGGATTTTGAAAATTTTTTTTTGCAATTTTTAATAATTCATGAGTGAATAAATAAATAAATAAATCATTTTCAGATGTATTCAAATAGTTTTCTTTTTTAATACAACTTAATGAAGTAATATTTATCAATTCATATTCAGACGAAAATAATTAAGTATTTGATATGTATCAAAATTAAACTCATCATAGGAGGATGATGTAAATTTCGATCTGTCCTAAAACATTTCTCTGAATGAATGTGATGTCTTTAGGATGTGTGTCTCATGACTTGTTTTTCTAACATGATGAGCATCCGAGTGTGAGTTTCCGTTAGAGTCCTGCATCGGATCGGGTTTTCAAACCCGATACATTCACCGTTATTCATAGTGAATATAACAATTAACAACGATGCTTGGTCGAATGTGTGTGACAGACACCCATATCAAAACAAGCAGAGCTGATGGTCTTTGAAGTCGCTACAGCCAATAGTGGATATGTCGCGTTTGAAAACCAGACCCGATGTAGGACTCAAGTTTCCGTTGTTGATTGGTTTTATATCAGTTTGTAGAGTTCGATGAGTTATGGACAATCACATAAAGCATCCTTTTCTCATGGACTTTCTTTGAGGAGTTAGATCGATCTTAACTTCAGAAAAATGACTGTAAGCTAAGATGAACTATATAAAGTATGCTTTATTATTGTCATATATCATGTTATAACAAACATAAAGATGCAATCAATAAATTTTGTTTTTATATTTTTATAAAATTTTGAAGTTATTCATAGAAGATCAATGAAGAAATCTATTTGTATATAAAGTATAATTTATTGATATTTAATACTGAGAAAAAAACCAAAATATACATCAACAACAGGAAAAAAATTCATTCGTTTATGATCTCATTTAGTTACTCATTTTTCTAATAGTAAAAATAAATATTTATTATTTGTGATTCATAAGTTACATTCGTATTAAGATATAGATAGTAACTATTGATAGAGTCTGTAGCTAAAAGACAATAAACCTTCATTATCATTGAATTTTTGTTTGATTGCCTAATATCATCAATAATGTTATAAAACCAAATTCTAGCAAGTAGGAAACGTTGATATTATATACTGATTTTGCTAAAAACAATAAATTCTTATCAAAATTTCGTTTTCAAATAAATCTTAAGATTTGCATATTTATGTAAAGCTATTGTTACATCTCAATCATATCCAATTTTCTGTTCAATCAAATAAATTTCGTTTACTTCGCAAATTTCTGTGTGTATCCGATTGACTTGTCTATTTGCCATAAAATTTTCTGACGAGTAACGCTTGAAAATTTTAATTGATCATTAACTATCAAACATTTTTCATTAAAACATGAGTATTGTGCTTTAATATTAATCATAATTTTCATTTGGTTGTCGTTCACATATGTTTAAAAAACTCAAAGAAGGGTTATATTAAATGGATGTTGAAATAAATAGACGAATTCAATATCATTAACGATTGATCTTGCTTTTCGAAATGGTAATAATGACGAGCTACAAGACCTAAACAGCCACATTAAAAACAAAGTTGAAATAGTTGCTGCTGTTTTAAATTATTATTTCGATATGTAGTATCATTCAATAATAGTCACAAAAAAATTTGTTCATGATTGACCATTATATTCTTGACAAGATGAATAAAGAGGTTGATTTCGTTCATATGAATTATATGAAGACGATTAAGAAATTCTATTCAAATAACATTGTGGATCAGCATCATTAGATAAGTGATGATTTTTATAGTAATGATTATCATCATTAAAAGTTCGAGAATAACCTTTAAAACCATTGGCTGATGCTACATTAGTTGTTGAAAATGAAAAGAAGAAGATGATACTAAATCATCATCAATGATAAAGCTTTAGTTGCGAACTGCATCGGGTTTTTTTCGGGTTTGAGTAAATAGTAAATAAAAACTTTACACCAATATCAAACTCTTTTTTTGAAATGTAGGTTCGATAGAGAAGTCCTCTAGCTTCCAAATGATGTGCCTTGTTTCGGAAAAAATAATCAATCCATAGAATTATAGCAGGAAAATATATGAAAAAATCGGAGTCCGATTTTTTTTCGGCGATCGTTTCCTGTGTAGAACTGCAGGAATGAAATGTTTTTCAAATCCAAATGCATCATTCGAAAGCTAAAAGATTCTACTATCGAATTTACATCTCGAAAAAGAGTTTGATCTTAATGTAAAGTTTTTATTTACTGTTTACTCAAAACCCGCCGCAGTTCACAAATTGTGGAACACATTTTCGATCCGTTGCTACCTCATCAGCTGAGACAACGTATGGTGATACTAAGGGTGTGAGTGTAGGCATGGGGGAAGGGGCTGTTAGTCTTCTCTTAATTAACACCCACACCCCACATCCTCTGTGTGAAAAAGTCATATGTATCAAATCACTTTCTTATACACGCCTGTCCTTTAGCGAAAAACACATGTTTTTATATTTACAGAGTAGAATGATGTGCTTAATGCACATTTAATTATATTCACCACAAACAGATGAATTAGAAAAAACCGAGCAATAGATATTGTATCGAAAACTCATGATATGTATAGTACACTAATGCACAAAAATTCTTGACTGAATCTTCATCCATTTTCATTGATTTTTTTAAAATTCTCAATTCATTTTAATTCAACTGGTTTAAAACACTTCTAATTGATCGTACCATAGAGAATAATTTTTTATGAATATTTCTGATCAATTTTTATTGCATATGGTACTTCAAGAATGTATTCATCATTTATCTGATAAAAAATATTTGGAACCTAAAGTAGATAAGAAATCGAAGTCTGCGATATTCTTAAATCACCTGAGATCATGATTTTTTATTGAGCAGTGAACATAATTTGATTGAATTGAATTTATACTTTTATTGATAATAATATGAACAACGTTGAAGTTTACGAAAGTGGGAAAAAAATACATAATCAATCGATCAGATACAATCAACTTCTGCACTGTCTTTGTAACCAAAGTAATCAGTGGAAAAGAGATAAATACCTAGTTAGTATTGTGAGCCTTTTTCAACAAACGCTCAAAAACTTTTATCAACCAGACAGTAAATTAAATCAATTATATTCATATGTAGTCACAACAATTTCAGTACCATTTAAAATAAAAGACTGACGAATAGATTTTCAATTTCAATTACCGATCTTCGATATAATGAAAACTTCGAAAGATGATAACAACATTTGATCTTATCACTGTTGCTGGTAAAACTTGTTTTGATAGTCTCGTAAAAAAAAAAGTTGTTCTTACTTCCAAATCGTCGTTTTTATGGAACGAATTGCGAAATGACAAAACTTTATATCGACTTTTCACAACAAAATGGATCACACAGGAACATGGAACTTTGTAACAATGTTTGGACGAAAGTCGTACGATCATCCGATCTGAAAATCCTTTTTTGTACAGAACATGTTTAATTTTGGCTAATGATTACCATTTATTTTCATCATTTTTCAAAACAAATGATATCTATCGATGTAATATATATTACAATCAAAAACAAAATCTTTCGAACGAATAATTTACATCGCTTTGTGTTCAAGAAATCTTCTACTCAGATTTGACTAAGCTGGACAGCCTGTTGACATATCACTCAATCAAAAGCATATAGTTTATGTTTTACCAAAATAAACATACATAATAATTGTGAATTAATCTCTAGGTCTTGACGTACTCTTAGTGGAACATTTTATTTTATTTTTCTAATAAATCATTACAAAAAAAATGAAAGACATAGAATCAAATAGAAATTTTAATTGTAAAAAAAAAATAAAGAACGAACGGTATTGCACATACCGAAAATAAATTGAATACTGATTATATTTTCTTTTAATAACGTGTTAATCGAAGTGGAAAATCTATTCAAAATAATTAGAAAAGAAAAAGAAATTTTACTAAAACATACTCTCAGATACCATACGATCATCTTCAAAGACAAGAACAATGCTAATTTCAAATTCTACAATATGAAAAATTGATTGTTTTAGCAATATTATCTATATTTAAGCAGACATACCAATTTTAAAATTAACCGTTAATAAGGTTGGACATGTAAATGTTCGTGGAAAAAGCATCCAAATTGGAATTGCTATTTTACGAGCAACATTACCATCGCCTAGTTGAATATTTTGAATTTCTGTTGCTAAAATAAAGATTACAAAAGTTATTTAAAAACAAAATATCAATATAAATCTCTACAATCTCGTGAAAATCCTTCTGCACAACCACATGTTTCCACACGTAAAAGTTGTATTTCAATTGATTTTATTGGTAATTCACTTTCTTCTACAACTAACTAAATTATATAAAAAATAAAAAATAAAAAATAAAAATAAAAATAGAAGCAAACCTCGCCAGAAAATGGTTTGGTAATAATACAACAAAGACTATCAAGATTGCCCGTTATTTTAAATTTTGGTACATCAATTTTCTAGAAAAGAAAAAAAAAATAAAAGTTATCTCATAATTTATTTACCCGCCATTGAAAACGATCACAAAAAAAAAAAGCAAACTCTAGTTACAATTTATTAAATACAGAAAAATGTTTACGCACTATTTCATCATTTTAAATGGCTTTATTGTAGTTTTCTCATTGACAAACAATCATTCATCATTTATCTTCATTATCAATAGTATCAAAACACGACATAAACTTTTATCAAACTCTATAATATTAACTACGATTCGAATAACAAATTATAATTATCATACAGATATTTTATCACACTGGCTACGTCATTCGTCTTCAAACATTAAAGTTCACTTACATTTAACATCTAAGAAAGATAAATCGTACAAAAATTGCCATATTCATGCAAAATTACATCATTTTATCAATGATAATTATAATCAATTTTCTAATTCACATCATCAAATTAAGAAAAATAATATTTTTAAACCATCTATATATTCGAAAATATTATTACAAACATCAATAAATAAGAAAAACCGAACAAAACATTTATCGGAAACGAGTCTCATAAATAATCGAACAAATGGTCAGACGAGTTCAATTTCAACAAATATTAATCGAATAATTAAGATTTCAGAAATTAACAGCAAGAAAAATCGTTCACGAAGACGACGTAATTTTTTACAAGAAAATAATTTAAATGATGACGAAGATGCAAATGTTTATGATAATGATGATCGGATTTACTTCAGAAATCGACAACAAGATATGGCTGAACAAAAACGAGATTTTGATGGAGAATACTATGTACCGATTGCGACAAAATTTAAAATGAGTGAGTTATACGAAAAACATTGTATCTTCAGATTTTATATATAAAGGACTTTCGTGAGTCAATAAGAATTTTCCTTCATTCGTCATCTATACATAAAGGATATTGCTGTAGGTGTTTCTTATGTAAGATTATAGATGTTTTTATGCATTGAATGCAAATATATTTATTCTTTAACTTCTGTAGAATAAGTGGGCATCAAGAACGAATAGAAAACAAAAAAAAAGACATTATTTGCATAACATAACGAAAGAATAAATGATTTTAGTATCGTCATATTATTAACAGATTATGAGAGCAATAATAATAGGAAGATGTATGCTTTGTAATCTGAAATTAGACCTAATACATAGAATTTCAGAAGTAATGTGTGTATTAACTTCTTAAAGAAAAGCATCCATAACTTTCGAACGAAGTATAAAAAAAATAAGATATTTATAAATGCGATCAATAAAATAGAGCTAAAACTGAAGTCTACCGGAATTTTCTACAAAAGTAAACTAGATCCACGATTGAACATAACACACAAAGAAAGATCATATCTTGCTTCTCAACTATAAACAGAAAATATTCGAAAAGCTTGCCACTTCTATACAGATTAAAATCAAATTCACAGACGTAGAGTTCATCGGGTTGGTCCGGAACCAACCGAATAAGTCATACTCTAAAAGTAACAGCCTATTATGACTTAGCTATTATAAGATCGTTGTCAAGCTTGTCTAAAAAATGTGTCAGATAAAATATCAGCAGAATACAAATAATCAACATAAAGTATAGCATATCTCCAGAATGCCTATCAAATTCACGAGCAATCATCTTCAGATGTCTTCCTCCCTGATTTCAATGTTTTTTTTTTGTAAAAGTCCTAAAATAATTTGGCTTCCTTTTGAGATCAGACTAAGCTATTGAATCTTGACCTGAAACTTCACACATACAGAGAACTCAAATAGACTAGCCTTGATAAAAAAAATTCAGAAGTTGTGAATAAAGTCTCTTCGAATTATTTTTATGCACAAACTTTCCGACCAAATTTCGAACGTGCGACTTTTCCCAAAACCTGAGATTTTCAAGACAATCGACACATTAAAAATTTCATAGACTAGTTAAGTCTCAATAGAAAACCAAATACTTTTCGGGTATTTATGAGAACACTATGTAGTATCTAAGAGCAGAAAATCATTAAAATCTAAAAGAAAAAACTGAGACGATTTCCTTGTCAGACTAAAAAGTTTGATTGAAACTAGAAGTACAGTTCAAATCCGGATACGAAAAAGTTCTATTAATCTATTTCATGTCTAAAACTTTTTTCAAACTAAATGACCTCTAATCAGATGTTTTATATGAATGTTTACTTTGTTTAGGAGATAATAATGGATTATACGAAGGCGAAATTGATCAATCTAATCATGCTCATGATGAAGAAGAACGAAATACAAACAAAAGATTTATGCAGGTGTGTGCATTCTCCATTTAAACTAACAGTATGTTAGGGCTTAATGATCATTAAATAAACATACATTTCTCGTTTTTTTTTTTTGTTTTAGAACGATGAAAAATTAATAAATCCCGATAGATTATCAAATGATGATAATCTTAATTTAAATGATAATAATTATCGACAATATTTTAAAAACAATCATAATAGAAAAAAATTTTATAAAAAAAATTTTAATGATTATAATTATAAATTAGATAAACAACGAAATATTAGTGAAAGAAAATATCTTGAAAATGATTATTTAGATAAACAAGATCAACTTGAAAATGAAGATTAAATTAAAAAAAATAAAACATACATACATTTTGAATTGTTCTTATTGATTCTGATGTAACTTCAAAAGCAGCTGGTTTTGTTATTGCTTTCTCAGCAGCTAATTCATGTTCAGGACTATATTCAATATTAAATTCAATTTGCTTATTCATATCTTTTGAAAGAAATGTTCGTTTGATATCAACACGAAGAAAATACTAAAATATAAGCGAGAAAGAAAAAAAACAAAGAAAAATAATAAATAAATATATTTAAAATTTAATTTTACTTGAATATTAACAAAAACTCCATGATATGTTTCATATAATGGTTTATTTGGTCTACCTTTTAATTGTACTTGAAAAGGAATTTCAGTTTTCAAACTTGGTATTTGACCTGGTTTAGCTAATTCAATTATTTGATTAATAAGAGTAACAGGCTATAGAATAAAACTTGAAAAGTTAAACAAAATAAAAAGAAATGAATTTTTTTTTACTTTTGTTGAATTATAAAATGCTTCAAAAACACCAACACTTTTACCACTTAAATGTAATTGAACAGACCCATCAACTGTCATTGTAATACCATTATGTTTGAATGATGTTGGTGTTGAAATAATGACTGTACCTTGAATAATATCCTTTCAACAAAAAAAAAACAAGTATTACATTTATTTTTTTTCCTTTTTATTTCAATAATCAACGAAATTTGATTTATAGAGTGTCACTCTCATAATTTGCTTCATTTTCATACTTGATTCTTATATAACTCGATACATATCTATGAGTCTATTAGCAAAATAATCTTCATTCAAAACTTAGCACACAAAGCATGACTATATAAATTTCATTTTATATTTTGCTATTTCTTTTCCGCCAATATTATTATGTACATAAATTCACTTGACACTTATCAGATTTTTAGAAAATATAATTTCTTTTTATTTCCATAAACCTTCCTATGTTACATTTTTGTTCGCAATACTATTGGTGAATACCGTCGACATAATGCATATTATACTGAACAGTCCACTGGCGATTTTTCTCCGTTTTAAACCACATAGATTCAATCATTTAGTGTATTTCTTATTTTTATTTTAAATTAAACTGTATACAATAAATCATAAACTTCTATTGCTTATGTAAATATTCAGTAAAGTGATTATATAATTATGTTGTTATTCTTCATTCATGAAAAACAAAAAAGTAATTGACTATTGTAAATGTATTGATTTAATCAAAAGTTTGTTAATTTAAAAAAAAAAACTTACATTTTCACTATATGTTTTTGTTTGTCGATTCAGACGGATATCAATCGAACCAGACATTATTCTTAAAACGAAAACAGAAGTTTTAAGTATGTGAAGAGTTCTATATAGGAATGGTCAAAATTTAAGAATCATTGAATATAAAACTTCAACGACCTCTACATCCAATTTTTTAAATAAAATTTTTAGTTTAACTCATACGAATAAAAAACAAAAATTTTTCATTAGATTTTTCATAAAATTTAAATAAAATATTTCAATAAAATAATAGCACTTTTCGTTACTAAGTAACGATAAGTGTAAAATTTTGCATAATGGTACAATCATTGATCAGAACGTAGTACACGAAAATGTAATTTCGAGAAAAAAAAAGAACTCATATACTTTGTTTTTTTATTTTATTGAAGTTTCATAACAAAGTATTTTTTATAGATTTTGTAAAAAAAATCATGAACGGCAAAGGTGGTTCTCCACCATCACTATCTACTAATCGAAAGTCTAATAAAGTAGTTTTACCTCAAATTCAACGACATCCAGCCTATTTTGAAGATCCATACAAGAATTCCATATTATTTTCATTCAAACTTAAAGATAGACAAGATGAAATGCTCAAACGGATCGTGTAAATATATAAAAATCTATTTATTCTGTTATTAGAAGAAGAAAAAAAACGAGAAAATCAATCTTTTTCTTTATTGCTTTTAAATCTTATGAATAATTAATTGATTATGTCAAATTTCATTTCGTTTAGCCTTGAACATGCAAAACAAGAAGAACAAGCAGCACTTGAACCCTATGATGTAAAATATCGATCACGAGTGAAATCTCCAGAATATCCAAAAACGGTTTGTTACAAACCTTTTTTTTTTATCTGTATTAATGAATTGTTATTCTTGGTTTTTTTAGTGTCTCAGTGAAGATCGTGCTATTCGGGTAAATTTTCTTTGATTGCTAAAAATGAAGTCATTTTTCTTTTTTCTTTTTTGTTTAAATAGACCAATTATCATTATATGAAAGAACGTGTTGCACATCTACCGATAACACCAGCCTCAGATGAATCATTTAAACATATTATTGATCGTTTCATTGACAAAAAGTTAAAAGAAGGTCCACAAATGAAAAGTGTTATACAACGTATTGTTAATGAAACGAAAGTTTTATATGAAAATAGTATGAAAAAAAGTCAATGTAAGGTTTTCTTGTTTTATTCTATCAAAGATAAAAAAATTTTATATATTTTTTGTTATTTATAGTACAACATGTTCTTGTCGCACCAAATGTTAAAGGCCTCGAAAATGAAATCGCCGGTCCACCACTTCCAGATCCTGTTGGTTGCGGTAATTCAATAAAAAAGAAAACATAAACATCATTAACTAGACAATTTTTCATTATTTTTATTTTTAATGTTGTCAATAGATTTTTCAAGTCCATGGGAGGATAGTTTTCAAGCACATCGTGATGCAATCAAAGAAAAACTATATATTGTTCATCCAACTCATCGACAAGTACTTGAATTATGTAATAAAACACTTTCACCAAGAATTATGGTCGATTTTAAACGAATCAGGTTTGTGTATTTCCGAAAACTTTATGTCAAACATCACTTAGTCATTGACAATGAAATCAATATCAAATAGAGATGAACGAAAATCAAAAGAAATTTCAGTCTTCAAGTCTACTGTTTTTTTTTCGGAAAAAGACAAGATGTAGATCTAATCTCAACGAAAATCCTTTTGATAAAACACACCAAATTCAAATATCTTTGCTTCTTAAGTCTCTAGTAACCATGATTGTTTCGACAAATAGATCTAAATTTAAAGTAACTCTTACAATCAAACAGTGTCGATTTTTATCTATCAATTGGATTGCTTAGAGTAGAAATTGACAGGTTCATATCCTGAAACGCAGCTATTCGAAGTTCGAACAATTTTAATAGTGTTTCGGACAGCTGACGAGGAAATGTTCTCAAAATGGTGGCCACTCATTTCGTCCCATTACTTTTCGTCCCCTTACACTACATCCCATTCATTTCGTCTCTCGCTCATTTTGTCCCTTTTCATTTTGTCCCAAATTCATTTTGTCCCAGTGTCATTTCGTCCCATACACTTCGTCCCAAACTCATTTTGTCCCGTTACACTTTGTCCTACCGGACAAGTCGTTTCTGACGATTCTAGTTAATATACAATATCATGTACTATGATCTTCTACGTTTAATATATTAAATAAAATGAAGAATGAATAACAGTTCAAGAATTTAGTTTCACGTTAGCAGCCATACGGGCCAGATCTTGCGGGTGAGGGTCACAGCTTTCGCATCGAAAAATACGTTTTTCATCAGTCAATCGGTATTGCATGTACACGAACTTACCATGATACACAATCGGATTTCCTCTTTTACTCTTCAAAATTTCAATATCACCCATCGGTCATATAGATAGCAACACTTGATTAAATCAGCAGTTATCGGGATTTTTTTTGGGGATTTTTTAATAAATCTATATACGTTTTTAAATAAATCCCGCACTATTTTGAGGGTGAGGGCGAAGGCGATGGTGAGGATGAGGATGTAGACGCAATTGTGGGTGAGGGCAAAGGGGGCAGCAGTCGAGTGAAGGTGCAAGAAAATCCTGATGCAGCTAATAAATCCCAATAAATCCCCATTAAATAAATAAATCCTAATAAATTCTATAGAAGAAATAAATCTCAAAACAATAAGTCCCGGTAGCCCCTCGATTAAATAGTAAAGAAGAACAGCTTTACGTGGTGAACAATATTTGAGTGTGAATTTTTTTTTCTTTTCTGTTTCTCTTTCGTTAAAGTTAGCTAATCATATGAAAAAAGTAGGGACAAAGTGTAACGGGACAAAATGAGTTTGGGACGAAGTGTATAGGACGAAATGACACTGGGACAAAATGAATTTGGGACGAAATGAAAAGGGGCAAAATGAGCGAGGGACGAAATGAATGGGACGTAGTGTAAGGGGACGAAAAGTAATGGGACGAAATGATAGGGTGCCCTCAAAATAATCAATCCATTGCTCATCGAAAGTTAATTAATTATGAATTATTGAGTCATGATAGATTCGCTTAGATGTTAATCTGCTAGTTTTTTCACACTAGCAAGCTTTTCACTGAGAACGATTTTTAGTCTCATTAAATTATAGAGCATATCGAATTGCCTAAAAATCAGTACACTTTTTCTGTTTCAAATCGTTTTTTTTTTTCGCAAAAAAAACAGCCATTTTAATCCACACAACAGATGTATATATATATCAACGTGTCACTGTAAAAATCTTTCAGATGCTATTCTTTTACTTAAAACTCATTTTTGAAAGACAAAAAAGATTGTTGTCTTACAGACAACCAACATAGAAAAAACTTACGGGAATTTATTATGATCAATTTCACGTAGTGATCTGTTCAAACAGTTCTTTTAAATCATTTGATCTGAACTGAGAGTTGGTTTATTCGTAATATAGAAAGGTTTTCTTATGGAGATCGATAAAAAATACTTTAAAATATAGGTTCTATCATTCGAAAGTATTTGATCTAAATCGAATATGTTCTGTTTACTTTTTTTTAATAGATCATTAGGTGCATTAGATTTTCCTCATTTACGTTCATTTGTTGTACGTGATATTGAACGTAATGAAGATTATTTAAGTTCAAGTTGGTATCCACTTATTTGTCAAATATTTCAAACGGGTCAAATTCAAGGAATAACATCAACACCAGAAAAAACAAATTCTTTTTATAATTCTATTAATACACTTGTTTCGAATCAAGTTTGTTTTTCTAATTTTATTATTATTTTTTTATATCAAATTTTCTTTTATTAGTTACGTGAACTTCTTGAACGAAGTATTGAAATGTGGTGTTCATTATTTGATCCCGACGATCAAGATTATCTTCCAATAATTAAAATTGATATTATTCTTAATGAAGATGAATCAATCATGAGTAAAATTGATTTTCAACCAAGTATATCTGAATTTATTAATGTACTTCGTTATGTTGTTGATAAAATTGCACATTCAATAAATGGACCTAATCGTGTACGTGTAGCAACAATACAATCATTTTTAAATGGTGATGATAATATTCCACTTGATACACATTTATCACAAACTGTTATTGATCGAGCTTATCAACAATTAGCTAATATGGCTGAATATTATTTTGAAGAACCAAAACAATTATTAAATACATATGAAGATAAATATAATTATTTAATTGATGGACAAGCTCAAACTGATGTAGAAAAATTTAATTCAGAAAATCATACATTTGATGAATATACTCTAGTAAATTTTAAAATGAAAATTTTGTTTTTGTTAATTCTTTAATTTATTTTAGGAATTTAATCGTTATAATGATATTGTTAAACAAATAATGCTTGAACCAACAACTGTAGAATTTTCATTAATTCAAACAAATAGTGAACAAGTTAAACAAGGTCTTGTTGAAGCTGCTCGTAAACATCGTAATGCACTACTTGAAAAACTTGTTAATGATTATCGTAAAGAATGTCAAAGGTTTGTTTGATAATATGAATTTAATTTTTTTGTCAAAAAATATTTATTTAATTTAAGTATTTGTACTGAATATGAAGCAATCAAACAACGAGCTCTTACTAAACCAGCAACAACTGCTGAACTTAATGATATTATTAAATATATTGATAATGCTAAAGGAGAAAAATCATTACATTTAACACAACGAATAAAAGTTTGTTGTTGTTGTTGTTGTTTTTATTGTATAGAGGAAAAAAAATAACATATTTGTATTTTTGAATTTAGGAAGTTCAAAGACAAATGGAATATCTTCTAGAAGAATATCTCTTTTCAGAAGAAGATATTCGTTTAAATGCTGACACTCTCTTATGGCCAAGAAATATTGATCCTATATTTGATGCAAATGACGAAGTAATAATCATTAGGAAAAGAAAAATGCTTATAAAGTGCTTATATTTCTTTTAAAATTATGACTATATTCATATAGATTTCAGTCTGTAGCAAGCTTGAATGCAAGACAACGGTTTCTCTCTTGTTGAGCAGCAGAAGGATTAGAGATGTGCGGAACCAAGTTTTCTTGATCTTGACTCGATCTCAATAGCTTCTTTTCTAATAGATTCAGTCCCGTTGATTTTAGTTTTTCGAATGTTGATCTAGAAAAAACTGTTCCAGAATTCATTCGTATAATATCTGAGAAAAAATTCTTCAATACTTATTTTTTTTTTGAGTCGAATGCTAACACTTTTTTTTTGACGCCGATTTTGAACTATACTTTGATTAATAATTTATAAATAATTTGTTTAAAACCGTAGAATAACAATGATCTTTAGTTTCAGGTGAGATAACCTTGTACTCGTTGTTCTAGTTTCAATCGCGATAAACTTTAAAATTTTAGTCTCGTACATATCTTGACAGGACCGTTCTACAAATTAGTTGTGCGTCTCTTCTGCCATATAAGATAGGACAACAAAAATACTTATTTTGATTCTTAATTCTCAAGGTACATATGAATTTAGCAGTTAGTATGTAGATATGAGAATGAGACTGAGAGTAAGAGAAGAACCTCACTAGAGTTCGTGGGATCCAACATTTTTAAACCTGAGTCGGGGACCAAAAGAATTATAAAAAGCTTAGATCAAATACAGGGTCAATTTCTCTCTCGTGTGATTACTTGTCTGGCTGAGTGACAGGACAACAGAGCAATTCCGTTGCTTAATCCTGATCTATAGCGAAGCATTTAGCAAATAGGTAAATTGCGTAGTTTTGACATACGTTGTAAATTAGAATCTCTAGTTTTTAATCATAACTTCGAAAACTCTATGAATATGAATCAATTTTAATCTTTTATGATGAGTGTAAAAGGAGAGAGTATCAGAACGAAAATCTAAATCTAAAAATGTAGCTCAGATTATTTTATTTAATAAAAAAACTTTTTGTTTGATTAGATTACTCAACAAGTTCGAGGCAAAAATGAACAAGTTCTTACAGAAAGACGTGAACGTTTATTAGCTGATTTACAAAAAATGCAGCGTCGTGTTGATGAATTTGCTGATTACGGTGAATTGAATATGATGGCTGAATATGCACAAGATGTTAAACAAATTCAAAAGAAAATTGTTGAAGTTGAAAATGAGATTGAATGGATAAATCAAGTACGAAAATTTGAAATAAAATTTTTTTTCTGAATATTAAATATTTGTCTTGTTGTAGGAAGAAGCTCAATTTCGAATGGCTAAAACAGATTATCCACAATTAGATGCAATAAAAACAGCTGTTGATCCATATTATCGTCTATTTACAACAGTTCGTAAATGGCAAATTGCTGAAAAGAAATGGATGGATGGTTCATTTCTTGATTTAAATTCAGAAAAAGTTGAAGCTGAAGTTGAAGAATATTTACGTGAAATATTTAAAATTAAAAAACAATTTACAAATTTAGTAAAAAAGAAAAAACTTGAATTAGCAAATAAAGTTATGGAAAAACGTAAAGCACGAGGTATGTTATATATATAAATATATATACTTTGTTATCAAACTAAAAAAAAGACACGAAGAAACAAATAAATTATTCAAGAGAATCAGAGATAGAAAAAAAAAATTCTATTAAATATGAGTTTAGGAAAAAAACGTATGGAAGAAGAAGCTGGTGGCGAAGCTTCTGGACATGAATCAGAAGCTGTTGAAAAAGATGAAGATGAACGAGAATTGGAAAAACTTGAAAAAAGTGATCCCGAAATGTTACGTATTTGTACGGTTATACTTGATCAACTTGATAAATTTAAGGTTGGATTGTGTATAGATTTGACTAAACTCAGAGTTTGCATTCTTATAACGTGTGTTTTTTATAACTGTTTTTTTTTTTGTCTTTTGGCTTTTATTAACATTGCACGCGCTTCATATTATGTGTGTATATATTAGATTCGCACAAAGCTGCTGAACGAGAAGAGCTCCAGCAGCAAATGGAAAGCTATGGAGATCTTCTTTTTGTATTGCTTGACCAAGTGGAAACTATAATACGTAATTTTAAGGTGTGTGTATGTGTGTGTTTGTCTTTTTTCTAATCATCTTTAATTTCTTACATGAAATTACCGTAATAATCAAGTAATATGTTTAATTTTTCAAGGAACATTTACCAGTTATAAGTATATTATGTAATCCGGGTATTCGTGATCGTCATTGGGAAAAAATGTCAACTATATTTAAACGTAATCTTAAACCAGATACAGGTACAACACTTCGAAAAGTTTTACAGCTTGGTTTGGAACCATTTATGGATCAATTTGAAGTAGTTAGCGCTGGAGCATCTAAAGTAAAATCATATTATAAAGAACAAATGTTTTCATTGATTAATTAATGTTTTGCTTGGTTTGTTTTGTTTTTTTTTTATTAGGAATTTTCATTAGAAAAAGCTTTAAGAAAAATGCAAGATGATTGGGAACCTGTTATGTTTAATACAAGTAAATATAAGGAAACAGGTTTAACAATATTATCATCTGTTGATGATATTCAAACAATTCTTGACGATCATATTGTTAAAACACAAACAATGAAAGGAAGTCCATTTATTAAACCATTTGAGGAAGAAATTAAAGTGAGTTTTCAAGTTTAATCATTACTGTCTAGAGTTTTTTATATTAACATATTTATAATATTTTTTGCATCAATTAGTATTAAGTTCTTATTGTTCATGAAACAAGAGATCAAAGTCATATCTTTAGAAAAGTTAACAGTTTTTACGAACAAATACATTTGTTTTCTTTCATGATGATGCATATAGTCAGATTAATAGAGTATGAGAAGTACAACTGATCAATGCTTTGAGATCATGACCGAGATCTGTATGTGCTTGTAGAACATTATAGACCTTCTGAAATGAATAATTCTCAATTTATTCCCGGCAACTATATATATATATAATGTTTTTTTAGGCTTGGGAAGCCAGACTTTTATTAATTCAAGCTATTATTGATGTTTGGCTTAAAGTTCAAGCAAATTGGCTGTATGTTATTTTCTTTTTTTCTTATGTATCATTTTCTTTTTTTTGACACCTATATCTTTATCATTTAGATATTTGGATCCAATTTTTTCATCTGAAGATATCAAGTAAATATTATTTTTAATGAAAATATTATTTTTTCATATTTATTTTCTAGTCAACAAATGCCAGAAGAAGGTCGGCTCTTTTCAACAGTCGATCGAAATTATAAAGATATAATGCGTCATCTCGATAAAGATCAACATGTATGTACTCTATAGAAACCTAATCATTGTATTTTGTGAAACATGCTCTTAAATGAATGTTAAAATATAGAAGATAGAAACTTATACTTTCTACTTGTCATACTAGGCAAAATCGAAAAACCATCATGTACTATGCCATATAGGATTGACAATCTATGACAGACACCTTAGTCACAGCTTTCCTTGGGTTTGCAACATAAGTTATTGATATAATATCATAGTTTTAGATAGTGGTCTTAGTAAAACCTTCTCTTCTCGCACAACAGACATAGTTGATATAAGATTTATAGTCTCGTTACGATATATGAACTACTTCCTTATTGTATTTCTAGAGAAGCTGGAAATGAAATGTATCCCAACATAGATAGAATAGAACAATATTTCTGTGATTAGTAACAGCAATAGTATCATGTTTTATATTTTAATTCCGTAGGTATAATGCTAAAGTTTTTGTATTTTTCTAAGGTCATGGCAGCAACTGGTCTATCTGGTTTATTAGATAAATTACATGATAGTCATAATTTACTTGAAAAAATCAATAAAGGTTTAAATGCATATCTCGAAAAGAAACGTTTATTTTTTCCACGTTTCTTCTTCTTATCAAATGATGAAATGCTTGAAATACTTTCTGAAACAAAAGATCCAACACGTGTACAACCACATTTGAAAAAACTTTTTGAAGGAATAGCTAAACTTGATTTTGATGCTAAAGTTGATATACATGCAATGATGTCAAGTGAAGGAGAAAAAATTAAATTTATACGTTCAATAAGTACATCAGAAACGAAAGGTGCTGTAGAAAAATGGCTTATACAAGTTGAAGATGTTATGCTTAAATCAGTTCGACATGTTATTGAACAAGCTTATGTTGCTTATCCAAATGAATATCGTAGTGAATGGGTTACAAATTGGCCTGGACAAGTTGTTTTATGTGTTTCACAAATCTATTGGACAAGTGAAGTACAAGAAGCATTAGCAACTGGTGTTAAAGGACTTTCGTATGTTACTTTTAATGAAAGATTTTCTTAAATGTTTTCTTTTTTTTGTGTTTATAGAGAATATTTTTCAAAACTTGAAATACAATTAGGTGATATTGTTGAACTTGTACGTGGAAAATTAAATAAACAAACACGTATAACCCTTGAAGCATTAGTCGTTATTGATGTACATGCAAAAGATACCGTTAAAGATTTAGTTAATAAACAAGTACAATCAGAAAATGATTTCAATTGGTTAGCACAATTACGATATTATTGGGAAGAATCTGATTGTCGTGTTCGAATAACGAATGCAGTAGTTAAATATTGCTATGAATATTTAGGAAATACACCACGGTATATATATATAGATAGATAGATAAAGTTTTAAAATTAAATAGAAATTTTTTTTTCTTTTTTTGTATTTAGTCTTGTTATTACACCTTTAACAGATCGTTGTTATCGTACACTTGTTGGAGCTTTTCATTTAAATTTAAATGGCGCTCCCGAAGGACCAGCTGGGACAGGAAAAGTAAATTAAAATAAATAATATCTAAATAATTTTAATAGTTTAAATGTTTATAGACTGAAACAACAAAAGATCTTGCTAAAGCTCTTGCAGTTCAATGTGTTGTTTTTAATTGTTCGGATACAATGGATTATAAAGGTATGGGTAAATTTTTTAAAGGTTTGGCATCATCAGGTGCATGGGCATGTTTTGATGAGTAAGTTTTATATTATAGATTTAATTCAAAAATATTTTTTTTTCTTTTTTAAATAGATTCAATCGTATTGATCTTGAAGTATTATCTGTATGTATTTTTAACACTGTTTTTTGTTTGAAAAATTCATCTGAATAATTAATTTTATTTATTTAGGTTATTGCTCAACAAATTCTACAAATTATTCAAGCTATTCAAGCTAAAGTTGATAAATTTGAATTTGAAGGAACTGAACTTCGACTTAATGCAAATTGTTATGTTTGCATTACTATGGTAAAGTTTTTATAATTTGATTTTGAAAATAAAAATACAAGAAGAGTTTTTGATTTTGGTATGTTTTTTTTAGAATCCAGGTTATGCTGGTCGATCGGAATTACCTGATAATTTAAAAGTATTATTTCGTCCTGTTGCTATGATGGTTCCTGATTATGGTCTTATTTCGGAAATATCATTATATTCATATGGTTTTATGAAAGCTCGACCACTTTCAGTTAAAATTGTTACTGTTTATAAATTATGTTCAGGTATAAAGAGAAAATGAAAAATTCTATTGTTAATTTTGTTTTATTCTTTTATAGAACAACTTTCATCACAATATCATTATGATTATGGTATGCGTGCTGTCAAATCTGTTCTATGGGCAGCTGGTGCTTTAAAACAAAAATATCCAACTGAAGATGAAGATATTTTAGTTCGTAGAAGAAAATAATTTATGTCGGTTACTTTTTTTTTTTTTTTTTCTAAACTTTAGATTCTTCGAAGTATAATCGATGTTAATTTACCGAAATTTTTAGCACATGATATACCTTTATTTAATGGTATTATTAGTGATTTATTTCCTGGTATAACTTTACCTAAACCAGATTATGATCTTATAAATGCAAATATGATTGAAATATGTCAACGTAAAAATTTACAAGCAACAGAAGCATTTATGACTAAAGTAACTCAAACATATGAAATGATGTTAGTTCGACATGGTTTTATGCTTGTTGGAGAACCATTTGCCGGTAAAAGTATGGTTTTACAAGTCTTGGCTGAAACATTAACATTGATGCATACAAAGGGCTTAGCTGATGAGCTTCAAGTTCAATATAAAGTTATTAATCCAAAAGCTGTTACAATTGGACAATTATATGGAAACTTCGGTTTGTATTTAATGATGAAAAGAAAAAAAAATATTTCGTAGAATAATAAGAATATGTGTAGTCACTCTGAAAATATGAGATACTTTTTTTTCCGAGTTTTTTGTGTTCGTTAATTAACGCACCCTACACATTTCTCAGACAACTAGAGTTTGTCGAAATCAGGTTTTTTAGATTAGAGTTCGATCGCTTCCGGATCAAGGACCACTCCAATGGGCTCTAAAAACGACGCATCACAGCTGTGACAGACATCTTAGTAAAAATTATGTTCCCCTTGCTTCCACTGCATAATAGATGTTATTGATTTATTATCAAAGACTGCATATCAATCAGATTTCGTTATAATATATAAACTGGACCACTATTATATTTCTGTTGCATTAAATAAAAAGCTGATGAAGAAATGTGCTCTAAATAAAGCTACTTTTGCAACGGAAAATTCTTTCTCTCCTTAATTAATTGATTTATCGAAAGCATACAACTTTAATTAAGATATTTATATTAAAAAAATATTTAATTTTCAGAATTTCAAGTTGAATATCTTAAATACTCTAGTCAACATTATTTTTTAATCTTCTAAAATTCAAATATAAATTGTTAAATCTACACAATCGATTTTTCTTTTTTTTTTGACAAATCTTTTTACTTATAATTTATGAAAGTAGATTGGTCATAATAGAACATCCTAGCTCTTTTATTACGAGAAGAAGTTTAGATAGTATAAAAACAATTTATTTGTAATTAACTAGAGTAACGACATTGTCTTTTACATTTTAATCTCGCAGAAATTGCATTAGTAATTTTCTATGTTGTATTTAGATTTGGTATCACATGAATGGAACGATGGTGTGTTAGCTAATACATTTCGTGATTTTGCTATGACAGAAAATCCTGATAGAAAATGGGTTATTTTTGATGGACCTGTTGATGCTGTTTGGATTGAAAATATGAATACAGTATTAGATGATAATAAAAAATTATGTTTAACAAGTGGTGAAATTATTCAAATGTCAAATGTTATGTCAATGATTTTTGAAGTTATGGATTTATCACAAGCATCCGTATGTATTTGTAGAAAATAAATGAAATTTTTTGTTTAATTTTATCTATAATTTTAGCCAGCTACAGTTTCTCGTTGTGGTATGATTTATTTAGAACCACGTGTACTTGGTTGGAAACCATTAGTTGAATCATGGCTTCATGGTGAAATAGCCGAACCATTAAAAATGTATAAAAATGAACTTTTAGCACTATTTGATTTTCTTGTTCCACAATGTCTTGGTATGAAATTAAAATTTTTTTTATATGAAAAAAATGAATTGAAAGTGTTTTTTTTTGTTTTACTGACTTAAATAGATCATGTTCGACATGTAACAAAAGAACTTAATCCAACTGGTGATTCAAATTTAGTTCGTGGTATGATGAATTGGATAAATATGTGTATGGGTGAAGCATTAAAAGATGAAGAAGAACCAGAAAAAAATAAAAATGTACGTTCATGGATTATTTATACAGCTCAATGGGCTTGTATATGGTCAATTGGTGCAACAGGTGATACAGATAGTCGAACAAAATTTGATGTATTTTTTCGTGATTTATTACGTGGAAAATTTGAACCTATACCAGATATATTTCAAGGTAAATTTGATGTTCAAATACCAGAAAAAGGTCTTGTACATGATTATTATTTTCTTTACAAAAATCGTGGTGATTGGTTTCCATGGGAAAATTTAATGAGAGCAGCTGAAGGAACTGGTGCTCCAACTGTATCAATGAAAAATATTCGTCGTTATATTGTACCAACTGTTGATACAACAAGAGTTAATTATATGCTTGATCTTGTTATACCAAGTAAATCACCTATTTTATTTGTTGGACCAACTGGTACTGGAAAAAGTGCTTATGTACAAAATTATTTGATGAATAAAATCGATAAAGAACAATATATGGCATTCTTTATTAATTTCAGTGCACAAACTTCAAATAATCAAGTTCAGGTAGATATTAAAAAATTGAATCGAAAGACAGATTCTTGAACAGTAACATACTTAGAACTGATCGAGTTTTTTAACTGAATCGATCGTGCGGTTTAAAGTATAATATGATACTCATTGAAGAAAAAATAGTATACGGAAAGAATAGCTCTAAAAGATCAATTTTAATCTTTGCTCTTGCTTACGCTATGATTCTTAGTAAAATTTCATTTTCCTTCCCTATTAATTAATATATAACTGAATAGTCGAATTTATAATGAAGTTGCAAAATTTATGGTTTCAATAAGTTATTAGCCAACAATTGAAACAAGACGTCTTCTATACGTTAAATCAATGGCAACAGAATATGACGATCTTCGATTTGATTTCGATTCTATAGAAGGACTATTTTATTTAAGAAGTTCATTTGCTATGGGTATATATAAAATTATTGCTACTTTTAACTCACATCAAACCAAATGTTATAAAGAATAATTGTTTTAATCTTTTGATGATAAAGCTCAGAGATTTTATAATAGATATCACACTATAAACTCTATCTATGATGATATATTCAGCTAGATCGATCTAAAAAAAAGTGCTGATCCAACATCGGTTTTTCAGAGATTTACACACGTCTCGGAACGAGATTTTTCGTTTAACTATGATTTCGAGATTTCTAATAAGAATTTCAACTATTCAGATTTACTTATTGAACTTCACATTCAGTTACAAGAGAAATTTTCGTTTTTATATTCAGACTCACTTACTAAACTACAAGCAGATAAATTCAAAGAGATTTTGTAGCTTGAAGACTTCTATACAAAATATACTATTTTTTTTTCAAAAATACTATTTGAACTTGTAGAATTCGTACATTGAAACTTATGCAGTGAAAATTTCTGTCCTTTTTTTGTGTATAGAATAACTCAACATACATCTATTATATAAATACCAGCTAAAATAAATTCTTCAGTTCAGACATATAAGTATATCTATTTTGCGAAATCATTTCGTTAATGAATAACAATGTCTTTATCGTCGAGAATAGTATAAAAATTATTCTACAATTGGAACACGAAAATCTTCCATCTGCAAAAAACATATATTTGAAATAAACAATTGCACAAAGAAATCTATGATATCGATTCTTTGTGGTTTATTCATCATTTTTCAAGAATTATCTTTTTCAATAGATACTGTTGAATTCGTTGTTTCAATCATTACGAAATTGAATTATTGTTTTTTCTTTTTTTATTATTTAGGATATCATTATGTCACGTCTAGATCGTCGTCGTAAGGGTACATTTGGTCCACCGATGATGAAAAAAGCAGTATTCTTTGTTGATGATATGAATATGCCACAAAAAGATAAATATGGTGCACAAGGTCCTATTGAATTACTTCGTCAATATATGGATCATAAACATTGGTAAGATTTTTTTGGAAGAAAACGAAATAATTTTTAAATTAATGTTTATCTTTTAGGTATGATCGTAAAGATACGACAAAAATAATTCTTGAAGATATTCAATTTGTTTCTGCAATGGGACCACCAGGTGGTGGTAGAAATGTTGTTACACCAAGATTTATTCGACATTTTATGACTATTGCAATAAATCCATTTAGTGATGAAACTTTAACAAAAATATTTTCAACACTTTTTTCAGTTTATATTAAAGTTCGTTATTTAAAATATTTTATTTTTTTATTCAAATAAATCTATACATTATTTATAGGGACAAGAATTTACTTCAGACTATTTAACAATTGGTAATCAAATAGTTCAATCAACATTACAAGTTTATAATGCAGCTGCAGTTTCTCTTTTACCAACTCCAGCTAAATCTCATTGTAAATAATATTTTCTTTAGAAAAAAAAAAAAAAAATTTTTTTAAATCAATTTTTATAGATATTTTTAATTTACGTGATTTTTCACGTGTTATTCTTGGATGTTGTCTAATTCGTAAATCAGAAGTTGAATCAAAACGAACATTTATTCGGTAAAAATAATATTATATTTTTATTATTAATTAAAAACAAAAAAAAAACATGTTTTATTTTTAAGATTATGGGTTCATGAAACAATGCGTGTTTTCTATGATCGTTTAATAGATGATAAAGATCGTACATGGCTTATTGAGTAAGTATTAACAAAACATTTTTCAAGATTTCAATTATCTATTTTTTTTTTCTTTTTAAGTGCGGTGAAAATTTGTGTCAAAGACATTTTTAAAGAAAGTTTCGATGCTGTATTTGAACATTTAGCTAATAGTGGAAAAGGTGGTGGAAAGGTAAAAGTCATGAAATTTTTTTGTCAGAGATGTCCATTGCAACGCTAGCATCATCATTGTCTATAGCAGCGTTAGTAAGCCTCAGTAGTAGCATTGATATCAGTATGGGATTTTTTTCAATTGCGAATGGATATCTCTTTTTTTCGGTAGATAGATATTAATTTAATAGATTGTTTTATTTTTAATTTAAAGGTAACCGAAGAAGATATACGTAGTTTATTATTTGGTGATTTTCTTCGTCCTGATCTTGAAGTTGAAGAACGTTTTTATGAAGAAGTTAAAGTTATAGATACAATGTATTCAATTGTTGAAAAAGCCGTTGAAGAATATAATAGTACACATAAAACAAAAATGAATTTAGTTGTATTTCGTTATGTACTTGAACATTTATCACGTATTTGTCGTATACTACGTTTACCTGGTGGTAATGCATTATTAGTTGGTGTTGGTGGTAGTGGTCGACAATCATTAACAAGACTTGCTGCTGCTATGGCAAATTATGATGTTCATCAACCTGAAATAACAAAAAATTATGGTATTGTTGAATTTCGTGAAGATTGTAAAAAAGTTATGAAAATGTCTGGTGCACAAAATAAACCAACTGTTTTTCTTTTAACGGATTCACAAATAAAAGATGAACGATTTTTAGAAGATGTTGATTCATTATTAAATACAGGTGAAGTACCAAATTTATTTGCTGCTGATGAACGTGGTGAAATTATGGAAGCTGTTGCTGGACAAGCAGCTGCCTCTCAAACAGATGGTGATAAAGGTGCAGATTTTGGTCCATTAGCTTTATTTCAATTTTTTGTTAATCGTGTTCGAGATAATCTTCATATTGTACTTGCTTTTTCACCTATTGGTGATGCATTTCGATCACGTTTACGACAATTTCCATCACTTATCAAGTAAGATAAAATAAATTAATATAGTTTAAATTTAAAATCTCATTTGAATACAATTCATATCCTTTATGATATTAAACTGTATATTCTATCTGAAGATATTTCGTATTTATAAGAGAAATATACTTGAGTAATATAATCGTGAATAAAATCTTCTATATTTAATTTTTTGTCTATTTTAATCTTATTGAAATTTGTAAGATTTTGTCTATGAAAGATTGATAGATTGTAAATCAAGTTTCTAGCAAATAGTAAAATTCTGTATATGCTTATAAGTTTTTTGATGAGGATAACCATCCATCTGATAATCTCCTTGTAAGTTCATATTTAGGATCATAATGAAGATAAAAATTCTGAAAGCTCAATTCTAATAAGAAGTTATAGTCTGAAATTCTCCTCAATAATAGTTCTCATGATCATTATGATATATGAACAGTTTCAGTTCAAACGTATAATTTCTTCTTAAGATATTGTATACTTAAAATCTGGACTAGTGTTGGGTGCTAATGTAAAAATAACGTTTTGTTCAAACGTGTTATCTCAAACGAAAAACATTCGTTTTAGCTGAAACTTTCCGAGTAGCATTAAGATATTGTTAAAGAAAGTTTCATGTTAAATCTCTTTGTTCCCATTTTTCTCATATGTTCTGTAATAGACTGAAAGCTAAATAAAAATGATAATAGCGTGAGAGAAAAGACTTAATAATAAGAATTCTTTCAGGCTTTTTATTTATATCTAAGTTTGACATCAAACATAAATAACAAAAGAATTTATAGATTAAATCTAAATGGTTATTATGATTGTCATATTTTATTTTATTTTATTCTTTAGCTGTTGTACACTAGATTGGTTTCAAGCATGGCCTGAAGATGCTTTAGAACGTGTAGCTAAAAAATATTTAGAACAAGTCGATATTAAGGAAACCGAAAAAGACGCATGCGTTGATATAGTTAAATATTTTCATACAAGTACACAAAAATTATCGGAAAAATTTTATTCAAAATTACAACGACATAATTATGTAACACCAACATCATATCTTCAAGCAATATCAGGTTTTAAAATGTTAATAACACAAAAACAAAATGAAATCATGGCAGCTAAAAAACGTTATGTTAAAGGTCTTGAACAATTAGCTTTTGCTGAAACACAAGTAAATGAAATTTTTCATCTTAAAAAAAAAAAAAAGTTTTTCTTTGTCGTCAATTATTATTTAGGTTGGTAAAATGCGTACGGAACTTGAAGCATTACAACCACAATTACAAGAAAGTGCAAAACAAACAGCAGCTATGTTAGTTGATATCGAAATTCAATCACGTCAAGCTGGTGAAACACGTGAAGTTGTTGTTGCTGAAGAAGCTGTTGTTAATGCAAAAGCTATTGATGCTAATAAACTTAAAGTAATATTTTTAATTTTAAGTTTTTTTTTTCTTTTTACTATATTAATTATTTAATTTTATTGAATAGGAAGAATGTGAACATGATCTTTCAGCAGCTATGCCTGCACTTGAAGCAGCTATAAATGCGTTAGATACTCTTAAACCAGCTGATATAACAGAAATTCGTGCAATGCAACAACCACCAAGTACAGTTCGAAAAGTTCTTGCTTCAGTTTGTGTATTAACAAATCGAGCACCTGATAGAAAACTTGATCCAAATAATCCAGGAAAGAAAATTATTGATTTTTGGGGTCCAGCAAAAAAAGCTCTCGGTGAAATGGATTTTATAAATCAACTTAAAACATTTGATAAAGATCATATTCCACCGGACATTATGAAAAAATTACGTGATGAATATTTAACTGATGCTGATCTTGAACCAAAACGTGTTATGCAAGCATCAGTTGCTGCACATGGTTTAATTTTATTTGTTCGTGCTATGGATGTTTATGATCGTATAGCAAAAGAAGTTGCACCTAAAAAAGTTAAACTTGCAGAAGTTGATAAAGAAGTACGAGAACTTGAAGCAACATTAGCAGAAAAACGTGCACAATTAGCACAAGTCGAGTATGCTATTATTACATAAAGAAATTTATTTTTTTATATGTTTATTCTATTTATTAGAAATCGTTTACGTAAACTTCAACAAGATCTTGATTCAGCACAAAAACGTAAAGCACAATTAGAATTTGAAGTTGATCTTTGTGCTAAAAAATTAGTTCGAGCTCAAAAATTAATTGGTGGTCTAGGTGGTGAAAAATCACGTTGGACAGTAGCAGCTGAAAATTTACAAAAAATTTATGATAATTTACTTGGTGATGTTTTAGTTTCATCAGGTGTTATCGGTTATTTAGGTGCATTTACAAGTGCATTTCGTGATGAAGCTACTCAGTAAATAATTTTTTCTTTTTTTTCTTCTTTATAAATGAATAATTTCGTACAAAGAAAGGTTCTGGCAAGGTGATAAATACCTTTTGGATTACTAAATCTTTGCTTTTGAGATTTTGAATGTTTAGTAAAGTTTTCCTATTGTGTAACACTTTTGACGCGTAATTATACCTTTGAGTTTTGATCTGAAATTTCGCTTATACAAAGACATTGATTAGATTAATTTGTAGAAAGAATTTCAGAATATTTAAAAATATAGAGTTTTGAAAGATTCATGTCTCAGAGAGATCTAACGAAAAAATTCTATGTAAACTAGTCTAATCGATGCTTCTATGTTGTAGGTTAAATTTTAGGTCAAAATTCAAAATCCTAATTTCTCTTGAAACCTATAGCCGTACAGGAACAATTCTATATCTCAACAACTCGAATTACTCTAGGATTGTTTACTCACACCCAAAACAAAATCTAGTCAAAATTTGTAGTCATATTCGCGAGTTTGAGTTCCTCAAAACAAAAAAAAGACTTATTTCTGATCTATACTTTAAAGGTCGTCAAGTTCAATTTTTGTTCGAACATGTTGAAAATGTTCTCTGATTTGTTCGAATAATTACAATCCGATTTTGAGAAATCCACTTTCGATTAAAAAAAGAACTTTCTTCTAATTTTGAGAATGATGCTTCCGTGTATTAAAAAAAAAAAGAAAACTTCTGTTCTATCATTGAAATATTGCTCCTGAAATAAAACAAAATCTTTTGAATAGACCAGTTCCTATTAGAGCAAGTGTTTGAATAGTTCTTTCTCTTATTTGATCTGAACTTCGGACTAAGAAAACTGATCGACTTCTATTGTATTTGTTTACTCGAGTTCATTTGAAAATTTTATACATGTATAAAAAGTGAAGAATATATTTCGATTCCTAGACAACTCTGAAAAATATGACGATTTAGTTATATTTAATTGCAAATAAATGCTTTACACAGGACAAACATTGCACAATATAGAGTTGAAAGACAACTTACATAAATTCAGTATAGAATTAATTACGAATTTTTCAGCACTAAAACTTCAGATATATGAAATATTTCCATAATTTATAAGGAACATTTTGATTTTTAAAAAACAAATTAAAAATATTACAAAATATAAATTATTTGTTTGTCATTTAGTGCTTGGATTGGATTATGTAAAAAAAAGAAATTACCATGTTCCGATGCTGAAAAATATTCTCTAGCTGATACACTTGGTGAACCAATTAAAATCCAAGTAAAATATTATTATAATTTTTTTTTTATTTTACTATTTTTTTAATTTTTTATATAGGCATGGAATATACATGGTTTACCAAAGGATGCATTTTCTGTTGATAATGCTGTCACAATTCAAAATTCAAATCGTTGGCCATTAATGATTGATCCACAAAATCAAGCTAATCGTTGGATAAAAAATTCTTATGGGCCACAAAATTTAAAAGTTGTTAAATTAACTGATAATGATTTTATGCGACAATTAGATAATTGTATACAATTAGGTTTACCATTATTAATTGAAAATGTTGGTGAAGATTTAGATCCATCACTTGAACCAATATTACTTAAACAAGTATTTAAACAAGGTAAATATTAAAATGAATAAATAATTTCTAATGAATTTTTAATTCATGTTTTTTTTTTTCTTTGAAATATTTAGGTGGTGTAGAAATGATTCGTTTAGGTGATAAAGTTATTGAATATTCAAAAGATTTTAAATTATTTATCACAACAAAATTACGAAATCCACATTATTTACCAGGTTTAATTAATGATTTTAATTGAAGAAGAAAAAAAAAAAATCAAAATTCTACATTTTTGTTTTTGTTTTTAGAAATATCTACAAAAGTTACTTTATTGAATTTTATGATTACATCTGAAGGTCTTCAAGATCAATTACTTGGTATTTGAAAAATAAAAATAAAAAAAATAATAATAATAAATTATTATTTATTTATTTTTCTTAGGTATTGTTGTTGCTAAAGAACGTCCAGAATTAGAAGAAGAACGACAAGCATTAATTATAACACAAGCTGAAAATCAACGTTTATTAAAAGAAGCTGAAGATAAAATTTTATTTACATTAAGTTCATCCGAAGGAAATATTTTAGAAGATGAAGCTGCTATTCAAACATTAGATTCATCAAAAGTGATTTCTGATGATATTTCAAAAAAACAAAAAGTTGCAGAAGAAACAGCTAAAAAAATTGAAGCATCTAGACAAGATTATAAACCAATTGCAGAATATTCAGCTATTCTATTTTTTTGTCTTAATGATTTACCAAATATTGATCCTAGTAAGAATATTATTTCAATTTGAATCTATCTTATTTATATTATAATGTTTTTTCTTTTTGTCAATTCATTCTCGTAATAACTAAATTGAGTAAAATGCACAAGCGTGTCTTGTGCCATTAATTCAAATCTACTGAAACTGTATTCTCTATCACCGTAATTAGCGTTAACATTTCTAAATCATACAGCAGATTTTACGAAAAAAACCTCATACAAAAACTACACACAGTGTGAGCGAGGACTCAAGTTCTTTGTTTAATGGAACTCAACAGTTTATAGTAGAAGCTCAAAATCGTCTATAGCTAGCGCTAGCCTAGTCTAGAACCAACTCAATAGGCCTCAGCTATAGTTTCCGTCTAGGTACGCCACTATCCTTCAATAAACTATGTCTGCCTAATACAAAACTTTCGTTATAAATTTCAATAATATTATTGTTATGATTTGATATTTTATAATAAAAACAGTTTTCTTTTCTCTATTGGATTAGATTACTAGTAACTATATATACTACCCATTGTAAGAGTTCATTTTAATAAATAAAAATATAAAGTGATCAACTGAGTCAGGCCCTGCGCGAACGGGAGGATGTAGGGGGTGTACACCCCCCAAAAATCAAAAATTTTCAGTTTTCTCCGGTGACAAGAGCAGATTTTGTTCAAATTTTATGATTTTTCTGCAAGATTTTTCTGAAAATAGTCCCTTACAGCCCCCCCCCCCCCCAAAATCCTCCATAATTCCCCCTAATATTTGATCCTTCCCGCGGGCCCTGAACTGAGTCTTCTTCATAAACATTTTTTTTCTATTTATATGTTCTGTATTATGACTTTTTTTTTCTTTTATTAAAATAAAATATTTGAGTCTTCGCTGATTTCTATTTGCAAGTTTTACTTTTTATCAATATATATCTAAAATAATAGACTTTTTCTTTTTTTTCTAGTGTATCAATATTCTTTACAATGGTTTATTAATTTATATATGAATTCAATCAATGATAGGTATTTTATTTTATATTTTTAATTTTTCTCTATGAAAAATAATTTAAAATTTTAGTTTAAAATCAAAAATTCTTGCACGTCGTTTAAAAAATCTTCAAGAACATTTTACATATAATTTATATACAAATGTTTGTCGATCATTATTTGAAAAAGATAAATTACTTTTTTCATTTATATTATGTACTAGTATAATGCTGTAAGTAATCATATCTAACGTGAAGAAATATTTTCAAGTGTTCAATTGTTTTTTTGATCGAGACTATTCAAATGAAAGATCATTGTGAATAGTGTTAAAGCCTAAAAGGTTTGATTGTCTGATGAGGAAACTATTCAAATTGAAGCCCATCGTTTGAGCTGACATTGATCTCAAAAGGTGGTCTCAGTAAGAGTAGAAAAATCCTAAAAAAAGTTCTTGTCTTTGAGTCTCTGGAATCTAGTCATGACTGTTTTACTAGACTTTCGATTCAACTTTCAGTATTTATCGAAAAATTAAACAGCGAAATTTCTATCTGAAATTTCGCTCATAGATAGATCTGATGATTGTGAAAATACCAAATTGAACCCTCTTAAAGTTTAATACAACTCATCATAACTTTTCATCTTTATTTCTTCTTGATCAATAAATGATCGAACACTTGTAATGTTTTCTCGTAAGAATAAAAAAGTTTAATTTAAATATTTAAAAAAAAATTATTATTTTAGTGCTCAAAAAGAAATGGATAAAGCTGAATATCTCTTCTTTCTAACAGGTGGTATTGGTTTAGAAAATAAACATAAAAATCCTGGTCAAGGTTGGCTTTCTGATAAATCTTGGGATGAATTATGTCGTTTATCGGACTTATCTAAGTTTGTTGGACTTCGGTAAGATATATTCATCAGTCACAAATAAATAATTAAACTTTTAACTGTATATATTTTTTTAAAATTTTTAGTGAAAGTTTTGAATCAAATATTGAAGTATTTAAATCAATCTATGATGCAAAAGAACCTATGACAGTTGAATTATCTTCACCATGGAATGAAAAATTAGATCAATTTCAAAAAATGATTGTTGTTCGTGTTATACGTCCCGATAAAGTTGTACAAATGGTTATTGAATTTGTTAAAAAGAATTTAGGACAAAAATTTGTTGAACCACCACCATTTGATTTAGCAAAAAGTTTTGCTGATTCTCATGCATTAGCACCAATTGTTTTTATTTTATCACCTGGTGCCGATCCAATGGCTCAATTAGTTAAAATTGCTAAAGATAAAGGATTTTTTGAAAAAAAATTTCATTATATTTCACTTGGTCAAGGACAAGTTAGTTATTATTTCTTTTCTTATAAAATCTTAAAAATTAATTCTTATTTTTAAAGGGTCCATTTGCTTCAGCAATGATACAACGAGCACAAAGTGATGGTGGTTGGGTATGTTTACAAAATTGTCATTTAGCTGTTAGGTAAATAAAAATTAAAAAAAATTGTTTTTTTTTTTCTATTTTTAATTAAAATTTTTTAAATTTAGTTGGATGCAAACATTAGAAAAAATTTGTGAAGAGTTTTCATCAGAAAATACAAATTCAGAATTTCGTCTATGGTTAACATCATATCCATCGCCAAAGGTTATTCAAAAAATATTTAATAAACAAAAGAAATTCATCAATGATCTATTTTTATTTTTATTTTTTTGTTGTTTAGTTTCCAGTAACGATTTTACAAAATGGTGTTAGTAAGTATCAAATATATTTGTTTTATATTGAATTAATATAAGAAATTTAATAGAATTAACTAATGAACCACCAACCGGTCTTCGAATGAATATGTTACAATCATATTTAAATGCACCAATATGTGAACCAGCATTTTTTGAAAAAATTGATGAAGGAAAAGATGTTGTATGGGAAAGACTTTTATTTGGTCTTTGCTTTTTTCATGCACTTGCACAAGAAAGAAGAAAATTTGGGTATGAAAAAATAATGATTTATTTCTGTTCTAGTTGAGAATTATTTGTCAAAATGAATTTTCTAGACCACAAGGATTTAATATTCCATATGGATTTAATGAGTCAGATTTGTTAATTTCTGTTCGACAACTTCAAGTATGTTGAATTATTATAAATGAATATATGATGGTAATTTTTTTTTTTCTTATAGATGTTTATTAATGAATATGCTGAAGTTCCATATGTGAGTATTTTCTTAATTAAAAAAAAACTCAATCTTTTTCTATAGTGATAAAAAATTTTCTCATGGATGAAAAACTTTAATGAATAATCTTATTAAAACCTATATAGTAAAATTTCCGAGTATCATCACCATTGATTAACAGTGTTTATCAGAGATGGAGTTGATACGGTTTCTGTATGAAACTCACTAGCAGGAGGATTTTAATTTCTAAGTATTTTGTTGCAATTACTGGTGTTTACTTAATTTATTTGCATCAAGATGAGATAGTAGCAAGTTTTTGCATTGAATAGAAAATTAAAACGGAAATAGTAATCATTAAAATTGGGTATAAAAGAAAGACTTCAATTAGCATAGTGTCGTTGATCATATCAATTCTGTTTCATATCATTATAAAAATGTAATGATGATCAATAAAATAATATATGATGAGACATAAAGTGAAAAGGTAAATGAAACTATGCAACAAAAACGTAGGAAATAAGTGACACTTATAATAGCAGAGAAGGACATTTACATTTCATAATTAATTTTCTGAACAGCACGATTGCAAAATTTACTATCTAATTGTTTTCGATTAAGAAAATTTTTTTTCTGTCAATGAATATAAATCCTACAATACTAAATTGTCATTTAGCTCAGGCATTTGTTGCTAGACTCAAATGAATTTATTAACATGCTCTCGAATAGTAAGACGATGCATTAGTATTTAGTTTTCAAAACTTAGAAGTCAGGTCAACAAATTTGGCTTGGTTGGTCACTCCGTTTTCTATGTGAGTGATAGAACATATTTTGCTCACATTACAAAGGTTTTCATTTTTCATGAGATCAGACATAAATGTCAACTATTCAGAATGAGTAAGTTTTCACATAGAGTAGTTTGATTACGTGATTCTATTTTAAAAAATATCGAAGCTTTGAAGTTTCATACAAAAATAGAAGTCTCTATTATCTTTCTTTTATTTAGGATGCTATTCGTTACATGGCTGGTGAATGTAACTACGGAGGCCGATAAGTTTCTTTATTTGTTCAAAATCTCTTTATCTTTAATTTGTTTTTCTTTTTTTACAGTAACTGATGATTGGGATCGCCGATGTTTAAGTACTATTCTTAGTGATTTTTATAATCCACAAGTAGCTGAAATTCCTAAACATAAATTATCTCCAAGTGGAGTTTATTATGTACCACCTAAAGGTACATATGATGAATATGTTGAATTTATTAAAAATTTACCATTAACTCAACATCCTGAAGTATTTGGTATGCATGAAAATGTTGATATATCAAAAGATTTACAAGCAACAAGACTTTTATTTGATTCAATTCTTTTAACAATGGGTTCAACAACAGTTGAAGGTGGAGATACAGATAAAAAATTAAATGATATTGCTAATGATATACTTTCAAAAGTAAATATACAATTTAATTTCATATCTTGTTTTGTTTGTTTTTTTTTTATTTATTTAGTTACCAAATAATTTTAATTTGGAAGAAGCAATGAAAACATATCCAACACAATATAATGAAAGTATGAATACTGTTCTAGTACAAGAAATGGAACGATTTAATAAGTAAGAAAATTAAAACATGACAAGGTTGATAATAAAAAAAAACAAATTTCTTTAAAGATTAATGACTGTTATTCGAACAAGTTTACAAAATGTTATTAAAGCAATAAAAGGTTTAGTTGTTATGAATGTTGAATTAGAAGCATTAACAAATAGTTTAATGATTGGTAAACAACCAGAAATGTGGATTAAACAATCATATCCATCATTAAAAAGTTTAGGATCATATTATAATGATTTATTAGAACGTATTAAATTTCTTCGAGTAAATTATTTTATTTTAATATTAAAAAAAAAACCTATTTAAAAATTTAATATTATCTTTTAGACATGGTACGATGTAGGAAAACCTCCAGTTTATTGGATTTCAGGTTTCTATTTTACACAAGCATTTTTAACTGGTGTTAAACAAAATTTTGCCAGAAAATATACAATACCAATTGATTTATTAACCTTTGAATTTCAGGTATAACGTCATGTGAAAGAAAGATTTTCAAAATGAAAACAAAAAAAAAATTCTTATTTACAGTTCATTAAGGCATGGGAAACAGCATGTACAGGTGCTGATTATAGCTTTAGTCAGTTGAGAAATGTGTAGGATGCACTAATCACTAAATACAAAAAATCGAAAAGAAGTATCATGTATCTTCGAAGTGACTATTGAATTCCGATTAGAAAATTTTTTTGAGATTATCAAAGTATGGTTCGGGATAGAGAAGTTTTAGATCCGACGGATTCTAGAAGGCAGAGCTCCCTCAGATCTTTTGTAGATCTACCATCGGCAATAGCTTTAATGAGGTTTCCGACCGGAACTTATCATTGCTACTAATCAAAAATGACCCATCCAAGGATATGTAAATTTATTTTTGACTGATGTAGATTACAAAAACTAGGTTTTCCTATGTTTTACATTTCTTTGTATTCGATCAAAACAAGTTCTATTCTTAATCTTCTCTTCTTGTATATAAAAATAAGCAAAAATTTTTATTAATTTTTTTTTTCTTTAGGTATTGAAAGTCACTAAAAGTGAAATAGGTCCAAATGATGGTGCATATATTAGTGGTCTGTTTCTTGATGGTGCACGATGGAATCAAGAAACGTAATTCATTGAATTCTTTCTTCTTTTTTTTTATCTCGAATTCTTATTTTACTTTTATCTAGATGTTTACTTGATGAACAATATTCGAAAATTCTCTATGATTCAATACCAATCATTTGGGTAAAACCAGTTAAAACAAATGAATTAAATACACAAGGAACATATGAATGTCCAGTATATAAAACAAGTGAACGACGTGGTGTACTTTCAACAACAGGTCATTCAACAAATTTTGTTATGCCTGTTTATTTACCAACAAATCAACAAGCACAACATTGGATAAAACGTGGTGTTGCATTACTTTGTCAACTTGATGATTAAAACAAAATACATGATACTAAACTGAATAAATTTCTTTTTTTTTGTCGTATTGTTTATTCTTATATACATTTATTTTATTTTTTCTCTCTCTCAAGAAAAAATTGATTGTATTTTTTTTTGTCACTATCATCACAGACATAATCGACACTAACAAGAAAGAAAAAAGACGATACGAAAGAAAAAGAAAATTAGAATTAATGATGATTTTGAGTTTTCTTTTTTAATTTAATTGCTTCTAAAATTGGTTTTCGTTTTGATTGAAAACGATTTTGTACTTCCCGTAATTCAATTTCCATTATTTCATCAAGTAATGCTAAACGTTGTTCAATTTGTTCAACAGAAAATTGTTCAATTGTCTATAATAACAAAAGAAAAACAAAAAGAAAAAATTCAGTTTTAATGTAAATAATAAATCTATATACTTGTTGAAAATCATCACCATTTTTATTATATATTCGCACTTCTTGAGCGATTAATTTCATAAATTCTTCTTTACTTTTATCAGTTGTTGTTCGTTTTGAAAGTTGATTCGGATTTGAAAATGGAGGCATTAAATTTGATGGTTGTTGCTTATTTGTTATCTATAAAATTAAATCGAACATAAAATTGATGAGGAAACAACCGATCATCGAACTAGCTTCATTTGTTTTGAAAACATGTTTTGTTTTTACAGATTATTTCAGTTGTGCAGGATTGAAGAAGACTTCTGCCTTTCATCTACCTTGTCGTATAGGATGCTATCTAGTAGCAGACTGCGTAGCTCAAAAATTTCGATACAACTAATTCTAGCTGTAGCTCTGGGCGGAAAGTGAGTCTAATGCAGAGTTCTTGTGTTTAATTGCTTGAGCTTCTCATACACACGAACTCACTACAGTAGTAGGTGTATGTCACAATGTAATGAACATACTATCAGACTGATTATGCGAGATCAACATTCCTTAGTGATTTATTGCAGATCATTTCATGACTGGTAGTACTGAGGTTTGAATAAAGTGACTTGTGGATGCGTATTGAACAACTTAGTTGTAATAGTCTGTATAGGATGGATAAGATACAATCAGTATTAACTATCTAACCAAGAACATTCTACGATTGATTAATCGTTTTTGAGCCGAATCTGTCTGTATCTTATAGGCCTAATGAATTATGCATATTCTGATAATAACTCAGTTTTTTAGACTTATTACTGTGGAAATATTGCATTTCCACAGTGTATGTTTTATTCAACAATCGTAGTCTCCATCAGAAAAGCTGATTGTCGAATTTCGATTCGAAACTTTGTATAGATACTGATCTTTTGTTTTTACATTGCTTTTATGTACTAGTAGATTCTATGTTCTAGTATCGGAATAAGAGCAAATTAAAAAATCTGAAACTTTCGTAATGAATTATTTTTTTTAAGGCTACTGTTTATGCAAAGTTCCGAGTCGAAATCCGAAAATTGACTTTTTTCATGGTTCTGAGTGAGGTTCATGGTGATTAAATTTAAAAATTGCATGGTATTAAACAATATGAATTTAAAAACTATTAGAACTTTATCTATCATAGATATAATATCGTTTTCGTTGGAGACGAACTTTGGACTAACGGAGATTTAATCAAAAAAATTGGCATTATATGATTTGTAAATAAGTCAATAATGGAAAGAAAAATTCAGAAACAGTTTTCTTTTTTCTACAGGAGTATCGGCTAGCTAGAAATTGGAAACTTAGCAACAATTGTGGTGAAATTTGTGGACACTCAAGACATTCTAGAATGAAGATAGCTCGATTGTGGATGGCGCACAACTTCACTAAAGGATTAATATAGATTAACACATGCAATACCAAATCAGAAGCTTCAAACACTGAATTTTACTTGATTTCTTGAAAATTTCAATTTCCACACAGTGAATTTATCTTATCCGACAGATTGTAGTCACGAAGTGGAAATATACTGTCACAATTAATTTCTTGTCTCATATTTTATTCCCATAATGAAAAATATCAATAGAATTCTGTCACTTTTACTTTATTTTTTTCTTGTTCAATTTGTATGTATGTTATATTCTAAGTTTCCTTGATGAAAGTTTTGTAATATTTTAGTAAGAAAAAAAGATCAGTTGACTTGATTTACCTTAAGTGTATCTTGTTGACTATCGGTATCGTTTTCTGTTTCAGTTCCATTTTCATTAATAATCATCGTATCAGATGATTCAGATGATAATTCAATCATTGTATTACAACTACTTGATTGGAATGTATCTGTTTCTGGATCTTGTCGATTTGTATTTGTATTTATAAATGTTTGTTGTTGATGTTCAGGAACAATTGTTTCATCGGGATTATTATTCTTTATTAATGTACCATTACCAACATTAGAACGTTCAGATAAAATACCATTATGAAATGTAGTTATTGTTGTTGCATTAGGTGGTATTGTAGATCGATTTCGTTCTTGAATTTCACGAACTTCATCAATCATTTGTTTTAAAACACTGTTATCTTTAGCATTAAGAATAAATTCATGCTAATAACAAAGAAAAATTTTCTATAAAAGAAATAAAATCAATTAATTACTTTACATTAAGTAATTCAGTGGCTGTTGAACGGGCATCAGGATTTTTTACAAGACATTTCGAAACAAAATCATTTAAAGCTGGTGTCCATCGCGATATATCTTTAAATGTTGGAGGTGAACGTGATGGAATCATAAAAATAGCCTAAATAAAACAAAACTTTTTGTTTGGTCCAAATTGAAATAAATAAATTAAGAACTTACACGCATTGGATGAATATCACTATATGGCGGTTTGCCTTCAGCTATTTCAATAGTTGTAATACCTAAAGACATTAATGAATAATCAAAAAGTTTGTCCATTTAATCCTTTTAGGGCTAAAATGTGAAACTCACATTGGGTTTTTTGCCTCATTATATTAGTATAAAATATATCAAACGAAAGATCTCTAGCAGACTATCGTTATTTTCTAAAGATAATCAATCATTAGGGAAACGATCGGTCTTATTTATCGCTGCATGTCGACAGAGCATGTTTTTTTTTCGTATTGACTCTCTATTTTGGGCTTATTGTGTTGCTATTCATTTCGTGTCTCCTTGATTGCGGGCAATTTTTCTTAATTGGAGGAAAAATATGTCCGCAAAGTAGAATCAGGGGGTATAGACAAAAATGACCGCATTTTGAAAATTGTCCGCAAAGCAGAATCGAGGCAGAGAATGAAAATGTCCGCATTATAGAATCAAAAAAAAAGTAGAAATAGTAAGAAAATTAGTACAGACAAATCGATTCTATCGACGCTAATCAGTAATGATTCGATTAGAACAGGAACACGCACAACAACGAACAACTCGTCCAAAAAGGTTAACTTCAGTTAATAATGAAAATATTTTAGTACAAGCAACAAAAGATTATTTAAATGGTCTACTAGATTTAGATGATTATCAAAAAAGACTACGTTCTCTTTGTTACCGATACATTCACATATTTGATACATCTGACAAAGATGACGAAGATTATGAACCAAAGCATAGTTGAATGTTGAATCATCTCGTACTACTTGTATCTTTCTCTTTCCTCACATAATAAATTTTTTCTTGATTCTATAATGCGGACATTTTCATTCTGTGCCTCGATTCTGCTTTGCGGACAATTTTCAAAATGCGGTCATTTTTGTCTATACCCCCTGATTCTGCTTTGCGGACATTTTACCTTAATTGGTTAAAAAAAGTGTCCGCATTGTAGCTGTAGCCATTCATTTTTGTATTCTGTGATGCTTAATTTAACATAATTATTATTCTAAAGATTGATTAAACTTGAGAAATAAGTTTGTTGTACATATCCATTAAATTTACAACAGGTCTCAATACACTACTCTCAACTAGTTCAGATATGATACACATAGGTTCGATTCAAAAACGATTCATCATTTGGAACAATTCCCTTGTAAGTTTTCCTGCTAATACTGTTTAGTGCCTTTATTTCTTTGCTAAGGAGTTTTGAGAAAGGAGTCTAAAGGCTGTTATCCTCAATTACTATAAAAACGTACATAACCATCATTAGTCTTTATCCTTGAATGTTAAGATCTAGAAAGGGAACTGCAAAAATTTCGATTTAAGCCTACACGTAATATTTTTCTCGAAAACAAATGTGAATACTACAAAGGAAATTCATACCTAAACTCCAAATATCTGCTAGAACACCATGTCCAATTTCTTGTATTACTTCTGGTGCCATCCTAATCAATTATGCTTTGATATACTTCGAAACAAAAATTCTTAATTCTTACCAAAACGGTGTTCCTAATTAAACAAAGAAAGAAAATCTCTTCAATTACAAAAATAAAACAACTATTTTAACGTAATTACCAATCATTGTATTCCGTTTTGCCATTGTATCCTATTAAACAATAAAAAGAAACGAACAATTTTTTGCTTAAAATTTGCTAAACTTACTGTTAATTGTCCAGCAACACCAAAATCTGCTAATTTAGCATGACCTTCATTTGTTAGAAGAATATTTCCTGCTTTAATATCTCGATGAATTTTACTACATAAATGTAAATATTCTAATCCTTTGAGTGTATATTTTAAAATAACAGCTATTTCTTGTTCATTTAACTAAATAAATGAATAAAATACAAATAATAATTTGATTCCTCCTTTTTTTTTTTAAATTTTTCTATATTTACTGTTTTTCCTCGAAGTTTTATTATATCTGATACTGAACCGGCTCCACAATATTCCATAACAATCTTTGAAAAAACAAAAAAAAATTAGAAAAATTTATTTATCATAATTTATTTTACCCATAAATCAGCATCTTTAAAATAACTTCCAAAATATTTAACTATATAAGGTGAATCACATTGTTTCATTATTGAAATTTCTTTAACTATTTCTGGTAAATCACTTTCAACCGGTACTAAAAAAATTAAAGTTTAATTCAATCCAATAGAATTAATTGTATTACATACTTTGTTTTATTGCTAAAAAATGTCCCGTTT